AACCTGGTTAAAACCGGAGAAGCTTTTATAAAACGCCAGGTGTAATTCCAGCAACTGAAATTGAAATTGTATGATCAACTTATCAAACCCGTCGCTTTATACGGTTCGGAAATATGGTGTAATGATATATATACCAAGCGTGATTGCCTAACTAATCGAGATATTGAACAAAAATACGAAAGTGCTTTAATTGAAAACAATCATATTCGGTTCCAAAAATATGTTCTACGGTCATAGAAAAGCCACAAACATGGCAGTAAGAGGAGAATTGGGAAGAATACCTTTGGTAGTAGATATTAAAAAAAGACAAATTAAATACCTCGGTCATTTAGAGTCGAGTTCAAATGGGAGTTTACTAAACGATTCACTAATTATGAGTAAAACAATGTCATTTGATTCAACAAATAACACATTTACATGGCACAAACAACTCAAAATTATACTGTGCCATATTAAAATAAAAATGTCTGATGAATTAAATCTTGAAGATAAAGGTAAACATAGAGAAGAGCACAAATAGGCTTGCTATTAAAGTCAAAAAGAAATTAATAGAGAGATATCAAGTATATTGGAAGAATCTGATAAGTGGGAATGGGGGGAAACTTAGATTATTTAAACAACTAAAATCGCACTTTGGATTTGAACGGGTTTTCGGAAAAGACCGACCCCACCGACCACCGACCGGTCGGTGTTTTCCACTGGTAGCCTCAAAACAGGGTTTGAAGAAAATGTGTAAAAGACCGACCATATCATGTAAAAGACCGAACATATTTGTAGCCTTAGAATATAAATAATTTGATTTTGGATGTCAATCGTTGGACTAGGCAACGTTTTTTACCGATTTTGTACCTTGCAACGAATGGCAAGCAAACAAATAGGTCATGACCGTCTCCTCTCGATTAATTGTCCTGCCTTAGGTCCTAACCTATCATTAACCAACCTATCGTTTCTACGGGATTTTTACTGAAATTTAACAATTTCGAAACAAAAATGATTTGTTATCGTCATAGCCTACTGAATACTGAACACGATATAATGTTACATGCGTTCTCTTATCGGGATTAAAAGTGATTTACCATTTCAGTACACCATTAGAAAGCTTTTTTTGTCATAGTCTATCAAATGTAGTTTCTACCAGTTCACGATGTTTGTGTGTTTTTGTTATTGCGTTTCATATGAATGAAGAATGAACTTAATGCAATGTTACGTGCGTTTTTTCCAAAGTGACTAACCAGGATGAAATTGGTCTTCTAACAACTGAAACATCACTTAAAAATATGACATCATTACACACCACGACGATGTAACGTTTTCATCGTGATTTGAAATGATAATTATACGTTTTTAAATCACGACCTAGTAAAGGTACTATAGTCATTGGATTCCCAGTTTTAGTTTTACTTCTAATTTTGCATTTTTTCATCTTTATGTAAAAGACCGTCAGCCGACCACCGACCACATGTACCCAACTGTGGAGAGTGACTGGTCGGTGGTCGGTGGTCGGCGGTCGGTGTTTTACGAAAACCCGATTTGAACACTACCTTTCAGAAACGACACTTTCAAACGCTAAACATTTAACTGGATTACGTATAAGCGCCCACAATCTAGAGATAGAGAGAGGCCGATACACAAAACCCATCACTGATCTTAATAGTCGATTTTGTAAAATATGCAAGGACTCGGTTATAGAAGATGAAACACACTTTTTACTCAAATGTAAATAATTGGAGTATATCAGAAAATCCCATATTGAAAAACTTGAAAACCTGTGAAGTAATTTTAAAAACATGAATGATCACCAAAGGACAATGTTTCTATTGACGAGTGAGGGGATCATATTAAAAGAATCTGCTTACATGATAAATTATCTAATGATTGGTAGGGACAGGATTCTTATATCAAAGTAACATTTTATATGTAATTTGAAGAATGCAATCCTATTTTCTTTACTTTATTGCTAAATTTACTGTTATTGAAAATTGTATATTGGATGTACGTTTGGCCCTAAAGGGGCATCAGTACTAATAAATCCTATTATATTTTGAAAATCGTCATTCCCATGTTAATCAAACAAAAAAGTTTGGTTGATTTCAAAAAAGTATCTTGTTAATGAAATAAAAGGTTTATCTTAATTTTTATCTATTTTGGGGGGTTTTGTTTTAAGTTTTTGTATACTTTTTGTAAAATCAACCAAAATTTCCTTTGTATAACAAGCTATAATATTGAGAGGTCTAGGAAAATGTTGCATATGCTATTTTGTTCTTTGTTCGGAAAGACATTTTATTTCATTCTCAAGAATATCCTAGATGCGAGTAGAAATGATCTTGATTTAAGTCATTAAAAATTCAAAATTCAGTCAAACTGATGTCATATTTGGAATTTACATGTAAAATTACATCTAGAAATATGGTTTTGAAAAGAGTTACTCAACTTTGAAAATTTAATTTTCTTTGAAAATGTGACTTCTAGGTCGGGGAGATTCCCCATAGCCCCCATGTTGTAATATCACAAAAATGGAAATATCTTTTCTTGTGTTGGGCAGATAATATTTTCTTTTACTGGACATATTTTAATCTGTATAACTATCAGATACATAAGGGTAATATGAATAGTGAACCACTCAAACTGATGAATATTCAAGTTTAAGGGAATTTTGTAATACCCTGCCATGTTATTTCCCCCGAGTCAGCCACCTGGTGGCGAAACTGGTAACTACCTACTCGCATCTGAGTAATTGGTAGAAAGGAACAAAAAAACAATTGCACTAAAAAAGAAAAAATGTTAACAAAAACAGTTATATAAAATATATATAAATAATTTTTGCATTACATTGTTGCCAATCAGTCAACATAACATAATGAAAGGACAGTGTTTTTACAGAATGTGTTCAATAATTGGTTTAAGAGAAAAACATTGTTGAATTCAGTTCACCATATCGATACCTATCCTTTTATCTTTTTGATAATGTGACTTCTAGTTCGGGGAGATTCCCCATAGCCCCAATGTTATAAAATCACAAAAGTGAAATATCTTTTCTTGTATTGGACAGATAATATTTTCTTTTACTGGACATATTTAAATTTGCATAACTAGACTAGATACATAAGGGTGATATAAAAATTGAACCAATACAACTGATAAATATTTAGTTAAGGTTCAGCTGGAAAGTAACATTTTGGTAAATAATTGCTATACCTGCACATGTTATTTTCTGGTACAAAATTAAGTATGAAGTCATGTGTGTAATTCCTTGCTTTTTTCAGGAAAGTATCGTTACACTGTTTACTTTTAGAATATCTGGAAACAGTTCAATGGAAGCTTCTGTGTTGTCTGGAAACTTTGAAAGAAAATTTGGAAAAATAGAAAGTGTGAAATATCAGAATTTCCTGGAGTTCCCATTGAACCCCTACCAGATATTCTAAAAGAAGACAATGTAATGATACTTTCCTGAAAAAAGCAAGGAAATTGACACATGCCTTCATACTTTATTTCGTACCAGAAAATAACATGTGCAGGTATAGCAATTTTTTACCAAAATGTTACTTTCCAGATGTACCTTAAATGGAACTTTCTTCTTTACCTGCCATGCTATCTGACCCAAATGAGCCACCTGGTGGTGAAACTGGTAACTACTTACCCAAATCTGAGTATTGTCTAATAAGATTGAAAAGTGACAGCTTCAACCTATATATACACATGATGCCAGAGTGCCGTCCAACAAGTAAACTGCTAAAGTACAAGATGTTGATTAATAATGCTTTTATGTATCTTGCTAATGTCCTGTACCCCTCTCAAACATCCCCCATAAGAAGCAGATAGCTTAATCAAGAGCTATGGTGCAAGACTTGCATGTAACAACATCAGATACCATCATTTCTGCGTAAGTCTCAGATGCTACTTCAAATGACGAATTTTTTATTTTAAAATTGACAAATGGGACCTCACCCCCCCCCCTCGGGGAGCCCTCTTCAGATAAAACAACACAGGTCTTGAATAATTGATAATAATAAATATATTTGAAATTCATAATATATTTGAAATTTGAAGCCCTCTTCAGATAAAACAGGTCTTGGATAATTTATAATAATAAATATATTTCAAATTCATAATTTGAAATTTGAACAAAACACATCAATTGTAATATCCTTCCGTGCCTCTGAATTTCAATGAGATTCAAACCTCTTAATAGGCAGGAAGCATTGACTCAGTGTGGTAATTTGTGGCACCCAACATAATAATGTTCTAACAGCCAAATTGACTCAGTGTGACATCTTTAATGAATGTCATGAGATTCATTTACACAACAGCAGTAATGTTACAGCCTACTGTATTAGTATAAGGAGATGATACTACATCACACAAAGGCCATCCACCATATTTATTAAAAGGCCATTTGGGAAATAATCCAAGTATATATGAGCCTGGTCATAGGAAAACCGGTCTTATCACAAAGATTAAAATTGTTCTACAGAGCCAAAATTGTGCCCAAAATTAAGAGGGAAATGTGCTAAATTCAAATCCGACATTTTGGTCTATATATGCAAGGAAAAATTGTTAAAACATAATTTGAAATGTCTCTTTGTTTTTTTTTAAGATAAACAAAAAATAAGAATATTGAAAAAATCTGTGATAAGACCCCTTTTCCTGTGGCCTGGCTCATATACAGAATTATTTGCTTTGCTTAAGACCAATAGTTTGAAATCTTCATTCATTACATCTTGATTCACAAGGTTTCGATTGTTCCTACCTCTAGACCCAGTGGAAAGCGACGATGCATTCATTAGGCCTACACAGTAATATGTATTTTTCTAAAACTGTCTGTAACAAAGGCCAAAAGATTTTTCTTTTTGTAAGAAAATAGTATTGCTTGACTAAAAGTCTAAGACTAAAAGAAAATCCAAAATTATACCTCTGTGTTCAAATAATCAGGTTCGAAATGTCTCATCTGAACCCCCCCCCCCCCTCTTAAAAACTATTAGTCTGCCACTGGAAAAAATGAATGGTCAGGCATTAGGACTGAATATGTAATTTAAAGCATCCCTCTCTGCTTTATTAATATCAGGGTGCCATAAGTCCAAGATCAACACTGCCCTGGGCTCTGAATCTATGCCTTCATGTATAGCTTCATGGAGAAAACTGTCATCAAAGAAGACACATCCATCATCTAACCAACATTCTCTCTTGTCCTTGGCTACAGTGAGATAACACCCACTTGGTCTAAACTCTCCTGAAGATAGAAGTAAAATAAATTACATAAAAATATCAAATGTACATAAAGGTCTACATTGTGTTCTATTTTAATTGACATATTATGGCTTGCTATATTTACTTTATTTCTGTTCTATGAGTGCAGCATTATCAAACTGTATAGTGTGTATAAAATGAAGACTATTGAGTGCCACATGGGAGTATATGGTTTAGTTTTGCCATAGTAAAGAGTATTTTCTATAGAATGACTGAATTTGTGAGAAATTAATAACATGTCTCATGGCAAAATCCCTTTTTACATAACTTACCAACTGGGATATGACACCTAAGTCTAGCATTTGTTGGGCCATAATGGGGAGTTATGTGAGTACCAGGGTGTAGAACAGAGAAACAGGCATTGCCAAATACATTCCCAACCATTTTACATGACTTACATGTACCAACTGGGATATGACACCTAAGTCTAGCATTTGTTGGGCCATAATGGGGAGTTATGTGGGTACCAGGGTGTAGAACGGAGAAACAGGCATTGCCAAATACATTCCAAACCATTTTACATGACTTACCAACTGGAATATGAAACCTAAGTCTAGCATTTGTTGGGCCATAATGGGGAGTTATGTGGGTACCAGGGTGTAGAACAGAGAAACAGGCATTTCCAAATACATTCCCAACCATCAGATCTTCCACCAAATTAATCACTTGAGTTGTCAAAGGGCACTTCTGACAATTGGCCTCTATGAAGGATCCTTGGTTCATTAAATGAAATACGTTCCATGATCCAGTCGGAGTTGTGTTCAAAAGCCAACCATCATCACTTGTCGAAACGTTCATATACTCATCACGGATGTCCTTGATGTTGTTTTGAATGATAACTTCCATATCTTGCCTTGTACATTCCCACCAGGGTTTTGCTGTAAGTCCTGGTATATAAAGAACATTTGGGCATTGTAATTTTACTTCAAATTTTTTTTCCTGGTCAGCATCCACAGCAATTGCTTCGTGGATTCGCAACAATTCGCTTTGTTGGTTTGAGTTGTAATGTTTCAGTCGTTTATATGCCACGCCCAATACATTTTTGTAAGTGTTACACCGTACACAGGCTTCTGACTTGCATTGCGTGTGAGTGTCATCAATTTCATCTCCAGATTCCTTTTCACCATTGATTGATTTTGCAAAGCCTTTCACAATGGCAACGGCCAAAATTAGAGTTCCAACAACAGGCCAAAAAAGCCATTGATATTCCTGTAACATATCTTTTCGTTGACACACACTGTTAGATAAATAGGAAGATGATTTATTGGAATAATAGTAGATGTTTAAGGTCTCATGGAAGTTAACAGGAAATGACAAAACAAAAAATGACAAAGCCATGCTGGATTTTGAAAATTTTTTGAACCAAGATAACAGAGTTCTGTTTGGACCTCCAGTCAGTTTAACTAGTTCCAAATATCATTTACATGACCAGGAACACAATTGAAAGGGTCAGAATGACCATAAACATGATAAAATAACCTTTTTAGCCCTCTGAAAATGTGACTGAAAAATAGCTAAAAGTAGGTGCTCAGGAAAGGTCAATGAACAGAATCTTTTGATTTTTTCAGAATATGTGTCCAATATATTGCTCTAAATGACACAATCTTTGAAATTTTAAAAAATTGTCTGAAACAATAATGGCTGTAGTAAAAAGGAAAATAGATCGATTTTCAATTCAGTTTTTTTCAATTTTTTCTTTTTCTAAGAATGATATCAAATTTTTTTGAATTGTATCATTTAGATCAATATATTGGGCACATTTTCTGAAAAAGTCAAAAGATTCTGTTCAGTGACCTTTCCTGAGCACCTACTCTTAGCTATTTTTTAGTCACATTTTCAGAGGGCTGAAAAGGTTATTCTATCATGTTTATGGTCATTCTGACCATTTCAACTGTGTTCCTGGTCATGTAATGATATGTGGAACTAGACTAGTTAAACTGACTGGAGGTCCAAACAGAACTCTGTTATCTTGGTTCAAAAATTTTTCAAAATCCAGCATGGCTTTGTCATTTTTTGTTTTGTCACTTCCTGTTAACTTCCATGAGACCTTAAATGACACGTCTTTGTTTATCTCTATTCCATCGCCATTTTGAGGATCACGTGACCAGTCATGTGACCTAGCCTGGTGATTAAAATGGAGGTAAAATAGACCCTGTCGTCAAGCCTTTTCACAATTAAAGAAATATTAATCCGCTATGTGTATTTATGATATCAAATAGACTTGAAACATCATAAAAGTATTCTCATTATATATGTTTGGTCAAAGATGAGTGAAAAAACTCACTATCTCTGTTGAATCAAATGTAATTATGTCTGCTTGAATTATTTTCTTTTGCGCATTCAGAAGTCAGTGCGCGTTCTAATGAAGTGAACAGGCCATAATCTTTGAAAAAGTTGAAAACTAAAAAATGTTACAATATTCGTGAAATAATGAACATATCTGTGATAAATTAATGTAAAATGGATGATCCAAGAATAGAATGGATACAGGGTCGAGTTTTCCTGGCACTGGACATCAAAGAACAAGAAGTTTTCGATGATTTACTTGACCGCGACGATGGCGAAGCAGAGCGGGACATCGCCAAATTTTTAAACGAAACTCCCGATGAAAATTGCCCCGCTTTACTGTTTTATAAAGAGACAAGGGAGGAAGAAGAAGAGGTTGAAGTAGAATGTGGTAAGCAAAGATGTTGAGGATTAAAAATTGCAAGTCAGTTTGCAAGTCAATTCAAATTCAGTGGTGCATTCTGTTTCCCATTTCTAAATGCAAATTCATTGAATTGAAAGCCTAGCCTAGATCTAGGCCTATATCAACCAAAGCAGTTTGGCCCAGTTATCTACTCCTGACCTCGTAGACCAGATCTACGACATCGAGAGTAGATAACTGGGCCAGACGGGTTTGGTTAGATCTATATAGGCCTACCCTAGGGGTTTGTGTAAAAAAACGGGTGACCGGGTACTTAACGTTCCTAGCAGGGTTAGGAATTTTTTTTATTTATAACGTTGGATCTGAACGATATATGTATGTTATTTTCGACGTCACGTTTTGAGGTTATTTCATATCGTAAGAACGTTTTGACAACATTAACTTTTAACGTTAAAATAACGTCGGTAATGAACCGATTTAGTGAGAACATATTGACGTCTTTGTAACATTTCCTTAACTCACAAATATTTTGAAGCCATTTCCACTATGTTGAAATTCAACCATCCATCGACGTTTTGCTGAATATTTAAATAACGTCAGATCAATACGGTCCATGAACGCCATTATTGACGTCACGTTTTGAGGTTATTTCAAATCGAAAAAACGTTTCGACAACGTTAAATTTTAACGTTAATAATACGTAATATTTTGATATTAAAAGCCTGTTTTGACAATGTTGAATTTTAACGTTTGAGTTACGTCACATATGGTCCAATGTAGTAAAAAATCAAACGTTTCTGTTTGTTATGTTTTCCACACCTCTAACGAACTTTACAGACACTTTACATACTTTTTATACCATCAATAGATGTCTCATGTTTATGTCGCCTCGATGTATAAAGAACGAAAATGCGCAACGTCTTCTAGGAACTTATATGCTGCTTATGAGCAACGTGACATGGACGTGTCTGTTTGCTGGATCGGTTATTTTAAAAAGTGCTCTGTCTCGTATAGGGTAAAAATATCGAACAGCAGTGCACTCGGTAGGCTAAGTCTGTCAAGTCAATTCGCTACTATATATCGGGGAAAATGTGGAACTTTGAAAGTTGGTAACCCTGCTAGGAACGTTAGGTACCCAGTCGACCGGGTACCCAGTTACCCGGTTACCCAGTTTTTTACACAAACCCCTACCCTAGGCCTTGGCCTAGCACTCAATGTCGAATCAATGTGCATTCCCAGCACCAAAACCTTTTAAAATTGCACAGGTCATCTTATAACTTTCTACTAGAGGTTAATGGTCACTGACTATTATCCTATAATTGGTATTGAAGAAAGGAACGAGTGTGACAAAACCATGTACAGTACCACTCATTTGATTATGAGTAGGCTACCCATACAATAAATTAGAAGTGGTAACAGGAATGTTGTTTCAGCTCATACATGTAATCATTTCAGAGCCTGAGATACCTGACATATCGGCAGATGTTGAAGATGAGCCTGAACCAACACCAGAACCTATAGAAGAGCCACAGGCACCTTCACCAGCAGTTGGAGCTGAGGGGGGAGATGATGCTGATAAAAAGGGCAAGAAAGGTAGGGACTTATAGAAGACACATTTGTTACATTACCATTTTGCAAAAAGGCGATTTTTCAAATTCCATTATTTATACTTTAATGCTTTTGTTTGTTGATTGCTCCAAATAAAGATCATCATATACAGCTGTGCACATATTTATCTTTCTTTAGCAAACTCCTTAATGTAAGGTTTAGATGGACTTCATTTTATTAGCACCAAAAACAAGATCCAAACATCTGGGGAAATCCCTTGGTGAAGGTTTTAATGGCTCACAACCCTGCCATTGCTTTAAAGAATGTGTAGCTAAGTTTGCTGCTTAGCAAATTGTAAATTGTTCAAATTCTTATTGCATGTTCTTAACTTGTAGGAAAGAAAAAGAAGAAGAAGGGTGACAAGGGTAAAGATGATGATAAGAAGGAAGAGGAAGAAGTTAAAGAAGAGAAACCTGAGACTCCTAAGCCTGAACCAGAAGAGGCTGTAGAGCCAGAAAATGAAGAACCAAGGGCACCTCTTACAGTAGGTTTTGAGTTAATGCCAACTTGTTAAAATGACTGCAAAAAAACTAGAGCAGGCTTACTAGAAAAATCTGCTTTTTTGCATGCATTCAAGCTAGTATATATATATATTTATCCCATACTTAGTAGTGTTATAGGTAAATAACATTCAGGAATATAATCTATATCTGAAGTGAGCGGGTGATACATATATCCCTACGGTCCCTCAGGTAGATATATAGTATTTCCCTCACATATACCCTGTATCAAAAACCTCCCATTAAATAACCTCTATATATTGTTAAAGACCCTCCACATCTGGTCGGCCACATAAACTAGGCCTCTTGAAGCCTATATTCTCTTTATGACACTCAAATTAACTTTAAATATTTTGTTCTATTTCAGAAAATCATCATTCAAAAGATCCAGCGCACATACCTATACATGTGTTTTGGTCAGCTGCCAGAACAGACAGCAGAAAGTGACTGCGTTTACTTTCTCAGAAACTCACCAGGGATGGTACCTTTGCCAAATACTGTTGAAGAAGCCTGCAGGGAATTGCCTGAACTTATAGAAGTGGGGATACTTAATGGTCACTCCCTTGTCATGCTAGAGCAGGTTATCACTCAGGTATGAGAGCTGTAGTAGTCTTATTTTGTGGGTATAATATACAGATAAACAAACACACAAGATTGTGATTTACATTGTGACTGTATTCTTTGGTCTCTACTGAGAAGTGAGCTTACAGCATGCTGTCCAGTGTTAGACCCAGACGGTTATATAATTAGTACAGGTCATTAGGTTCATGGAAGGTCAGGATACTACAAGAGCGTGGTATCCACACTGTTTTTATGAAATGTTTAAATTTTGGTTTATATTCCAAGCTATTGTCAATTACTGTTGTCACTCTTACCTTTATAAAGCTCTTATAATTTCATTAATCCAATTATTAATTCAATTATTAAATTCTGACATACATACTTTCTAACTCCTAGTCATTTTGAAGTACATGTAATGTTCCAAGAAGATTTCCAGAGAGTATTATTTGTCCATTGTAGTGTATTTGGACAGTCTTGTCCTCAGGAACACATTGAAAAACATCCACTCTTATATTTGAAAATTTGGGTATCTTGAAACTTCCAGGTATTCATGCCCTTGCTTAAAGTATTTTATCAAAAACCAACAAAAATAGAGCAGGACGTCCAATACTTTTGGATCACCCCTCGTATTTGAAAATTTGGGTATCTTGAAACTTCCAGGTATTCATGCCCTTGCTGTCCTACCACCAGAACAAGAATGGAGAGGCAGAAACTAGCAGTGGATCTCCAAACCCCACTGACAGTGCCCAAGTCAGTCGAGAGACAACCCAAGTATCAGTTGTCTCACAACAGGGTAAGAAGTTCATATCAAATAAAGTAGCCAAAGGATCGGTATTATATGTGTTTACCAAGTGGATAAAATATACACCAGATCTTTTCCCATGGCTGTTTTGAAGATATATTGAGAAATTTTAGTTTAAACAAAACACAAATTAAATATACCTTTGTTAAATCAATCATGATGGGAATTAAAATGGATCTAGATATCTTTTCCCATACCAGTATATTTAATTAAACATTTGAGCCAGAGCCATATAAATGTAATCAAATATTTTTATTGAAGCACCCATGGATCCACTCCATGTTTTATCTCATTTATTTTTTGGAAACATCCGAAACATCTTAATCCAGACCCATTCACTTTTTGCATAGTTTTTATTATCCTTCATATGAATACTCATGTCATCTCCTACGAATTGCCTAGAGTTATTCCAGGTAGTTCAAATTATTTAGAAGAACAATTATATTGTTCATATAGATCATGTATCCAGACCCATTTTTTATCTCATATGATTGAAACATCTTATCTAAATCCCTTCATGTATCCATTTTTTTTATCTCATATGATTGAAACATCTTATCTAAATCCCTTCATGTATCCATTTTTTTATCTCATGTGATTGAAACATCTTATCTAAATCCCTTCATGTTTCCATTTTTTTTATCTCATATGATTGAAACATCTTATCTAAATCCCTTTATGTATCCATTTTTTATCTCATATGATTGAAACATTTTATCTAAATCCCTTCATGTTTCCATTTTTTTTATCTCATATGATTGAAACATCTTATCTAAATCCCTTTATGTATCCATTTTTTATCTCATATGATTGAAACATTTGATCTAAATCCCTTCATGTTTCCATTCTTTTTTATCTCATATGATTGAAACATCTTATCTAAATCCGTTTATGTATCCAGGAGCAGAAGAAGAAGCAGAGGAAGCTCCAGTGAATATTCAGGAATCAAAGGCCAACTCTCTCCTCAGAGACGAATTCCTCATAAACATGCAAAAGTTTGCCAGCAGTATTAATAGAACAATTCAACAAATCGAGGGTGAAGTCAGGCTTGAAATCCCTGAAATTCAACTATATGATGACATTAATGAAAACCTTAATGACACCGAGTTGAAAGATAAAATATGTGAGGTTTGTTCTACATGGGAGCGACAAGTCAGTGCAGCCCTTGAGGTTCTCACTAAGAAGCAGCCGCAGGGAAATGGCCCTTTAGCTGAGATTGACTATTGGAGAGAGCGTAATGCCTCCCTCAGTGCCCTAGTAGAGCAGCTTAAAATCCCCAAAGTGCATCAAATGCTTCAAATATATGCAACGATAGACAATGCAATAGAATACCTTAGATCTGATTTGAATAAATGGCATACCGAGGCTAAAGACAATGTACGATTCCTCTCAACTCTCGAGAGACATTTTAAGAATATAACGCATGGAGCTACATTTTATTCTGTCATAGAGACAATTGGTTCAATGATGAATGCTCTAAGAATGGTGTGGATTATTTCCCGGCATTATAACAGAGATGAACGTATGGTACCTTTGATGGAAAGGATAGCATGGGAGCTGGCTGAGAGAGTAGCAAGAGTTATAAACATTAGGACCCTATACAGGTAAAGTCTCCTCTTGAAAATAATGTTATATTGTAAAACCAAAACATTCAAACAGTATGCTCATGATTGTTCACATGATCACATCCTGCAATTTGATTGGACGCCATATAATGAAGAATCCCCGAATACGATAGGATATGAAAGAATTGTTGGAGCTACTCACTTCTTCTGAACTGAATGTGAACACTTTTTACTTGTTTTCGATTTAGTAATCTCCCAATGATTCACATATTAAGAAATCTTGGACACTTTTTGCCTGTCCCAGTGTCATTTAGATTAGACATATTTACTTGTAATACCAAATTCCAGTTCCAGCGTACACAGTTTCATTTTTGTAAGAATTCGATCAAAAAGTAGTCCTCATATCCCAGGATGTTTTCTCATACTAGTAGATTGGTACACATAAGCAATTAAAAGAGGACTCAAATTATCTCCTGGTGTAGCCCCTTTTTTCATGAGAATCATCCACTAATCTAGAATTAATATGCTAAATCATTTCTGTTTCAGAGATAACAATGTTGAACAAGTAAAACGAAAAACATCAGAAGCCAGGAAAATGTTGGAACTTTGGAAAGACTCCTACTTTGAGGTAAATGTCAAATACACATGTATGCAATTTATTAAATTGATATGATAAAATGAAAATTGTTTTAAAAAAACAAATGTGGCTTGAGGCGGTGTCCATTTCTGTCAGCAAGTCAGAGTTTCTCAATATGTCCTAAAAGACTGCCTCAGGAATTTCAGAAGAAACAGGCAACATTAGATTTTTCTCTGGTGGTTTTTACACCAAAACTACTTGTCTCAGTTTCCATGTTATTTTCCAATAATTTTCCATGTTAATTAATTCACTAATTAATTAATTAATTCAACTAATGTCAGAAATACTAATTATGTCGTAATATTCTAGGTCCGTGCAAAGATCGAGGCATCAGGTCGAGACTCAAGATGGGAGTTTGACAGAAAGAAGTTGTTTGAGCGTACTGACTACATGGCATCTATTTGTGCAGATCTCTACAATGTTGCTCAGGTACTTAACTAATGTAACAATTTGAAAATACAAAGTACAGCTCTGAGTAAAACCTGTCTGATTGAAACAGTTTTCAAAAGAACTAAATTGGTTTACATGTTTGAATGAACCCTCTTTACATCTGTCTCGAGGAACATCTTTTGGCTACAACAAACTGAGTTCCATAGTTTTTGGCCAGTGCAAAGTGTGTTCCATAATTTTATGCCCATATTCCAATTTATGCCCTCTTGATCTCATATAAACTGTTTCCCTCAAAATCCCAACTGTTTTTTTGAACTTTGAATCCTTCATATTCATTTCTCTTTCTTGTCACTTCAGGTACTGGAAGAATTCTACAACATATTTGGGCCAGAACTCAAGGCTGTCACAGGTGACCCTAAACGTATAGAAGATGTCTTGAAGCGGGTAGATCTCCTTGTGAAACCAATAGAAGAAGTAGCATTTGATCCATTTGTGATCCGCCACATCAGTTCATGGAAAAGTGTCATGGATTGGTTCAACAGAGAGGTTCAGTCCATTGAAGGGGAGGCAAAGACATTCATTGATGAGTCTTTCAAAACGTTGAGGTAAGCTACTTGGTATTTCAAACTTAAAGGTGCAACAAAGACTGGAGACAAGTTCAGTCTATACTAGTGACGTCTTTAATTTTGCGATGTGTATATTTTCGCTATATTCGCGGGATGCTCTCCATCCGCGAAAAGAAGAACCCGCGAATTATTAGGGGTAATGACCTTTTTGCTGGCTTTGATTTGGGCATGGTCGTGGCCGCCTATATATGCCTGGAAAACACAATGCACCACGAAAGTATTTGCAAATTACATTACATAAACAAAATATGAAATTGACGTAAATAAAAGACTGAATTCTGGATCTGAAAAAATGCATCTTGACCTTAAAAACAATTAAGGTAACTGCTGTAACAGAGCGAATAAATCACCCATTACTTGCATCCCATCAAGCTACAAACAAGATCATAAATAGAAAACAGGTCAACAGGCCGTGAGACCTAGGATCTACAGTGGTCTCCTGCTAATTGATAAGAAACAGCATTGTTCCAAACATGAAATCACGGCACTTGTACTGGCAAGTACAACTGAATTGCACTGGCTGCAAACATGTCAGTGACATAAACAATTAATTAATATAATACAGCCGTGATTATCAGAGCATGCTAATCAAGCTATTCAGGGAAGAACACATTACAGCATATATACCATATAAATAGATCACATTCCTCATGATCAAAAAACCCGGGCTATTCAGTCCTGTCCCAACATGTTACAATAAAGATTTCATAATTATATAGTGTCTACACACAAACAACAAAAACATGCTATTCAGGGACAGTCCAACCCTGGGTTATAATGATGGTACTGTCACATCCTGGGCTATTCAGTCCAGTCCCAACATGCTATTATAAATATTATACCCAGTGTGCGCACACACGTACGGCATGAGACATGCTATTCAGGGACAGTCCAACCCTGGAAAATAATAACAATTAAAGCTCTGTCCCAACTTGATACATGCTTGAAACATATATGCCATCAGCAGCTAATTTAGCACAGGGCACTTCCAGTACATAGCAGTGAATCTTCAAAGCAGAATCTAACAGTCACCAAGGAATCATTGTTCTCAACGTTACTGTACATCTGGCACAAAATAATGACAATTATAAACCGTGAAAGTAACTATACGAATGTAAACATGTAGTTTTACATATACATATAGAACCATGAGCAAATGTAAAACAATTTTAAATTATACTCACTATTACGAATTGCAATCAGTTCCCTCCTAATATTATGAGCAAAACAATTATTGCCTAAATTAGTAAGGTGGATTCCTTTTGCTTCATATTTTCCATAAGTATTGTTCATAAAGCCGTTATTCGGACATACCAGAATTTTTCCATGAAAACCTTGCAGGTCGGACAATTTTGCATTCAGAATTAAACGAGCTTTCTCAAAGTCATCAAACCCAACCTTCGGCTGCAATCGTTTAAACACGTGTCCAATGCATACAATGCGGATATTATCGTAGCCTTCCACAATAAATTGGGCAACACTTTTTATGGCCGTAAATATTTTTTGAATATCAAAATTGTAGTTATCTAAGTCATTGCCGCCTAACTGCAAGTATACCACCTGTGGATTTACCAGTGTCATTTGTTCACATAGGTATGCCACCAATGTCTTCTTTTGAAACCGTGAACGAGATTTAGGTGTCCACTCAAAAGTACCGCCTCGGATACCACAATATGCAATGTCAAATTGGTTTGAATATAATCCTAAGTTTTTCAGAAATTTCCCTTGATATTGATCAAGCCAATATATGAGGGAATGTCCAAATAACAAAACAGACAATTTGCTCATGGTTGTCTAACTTTAATTAAAATGGCGTGCAAAATGACGGAATACACTCACCACGTCTATTTCTCAGTCAATAGCCGCCTCCAACGTATCTTCAATTTTTCTCTTTTTTATGGTACTCTCCTATATACATGTATATTGTATCTCCTATATTACTAATGTAATAAAAATGATATAAACGTATGCAGTTTGCACAATCAAAATTAGAGTCCATGTAAATGTACTGCTTGCAGTAGCAGGAAAATAATTTTAACTAAAGACTTCTGCTACCAGAACAGATGTAGCATTTAAGCTCCACCCCCTCGCATGACGTATGGCCAAAAATGAAATCCTCGCATAAGATAATAAATGTTCTTATTTACAATAAGATGGAATATACTTTCTTTACTTCCTCTTTAGAGAGTGACTTTGAATATACATTATGAACTCTTATTATAATGAAACACATGTTTTGCCTTGCAGGTCTGCAGAAGGGGCCTTTGACATGCTGCTGAAGTTCAAACACATTAGATCAAGGGAGGCGATCAACTCTCAACTGATGAAGAAATTCAATGACATTCTCACACAGTATGAGAAAGAGGTGTGTTCAGATGTTTATTTTTAAACTTGATGTGACTGTTGAGTGACTGTTTACATAACAGCAGTTGAGTAGACAAAATGACAACAGATTTATTTATTTATCTAGAATTATACAGAATTATGCGATAATCTTAGTAGTATTTAGGATGAACAATTTTACAATTTTTATTCACTTTTCAATTTTTTTGATACATGCTTCAATTTTATTTAGAATAACAAATTTTGGACAGTGTAAAAGTGTTCACATTGAGAGGTGTTCTGATTAGTTTGATTAGATAAGTTTTACTGTATTTATATTTTGTATATTAATATGTTTCCACTGTAGGTTGATGTAATGGACCAACTGTTCAAAGAGTTCAGGGAAGAGCCTCCAATACATAAGAATCAACCCCCAGCGGCAGGAAGTATCAACTGGGAGAAGTCACTGTTCCACAGGATCAAGCACACAATCATACGCTTCCAGTCTATGGAGGAAATGATGTCCAGTGAACAAGGGAAAGCCGTAAGTTTTGAAGAATTTATTTGAATCCATTAGTTTTGTATTTTTAGTCATCCATTTTTAGCATTCCTCTGCAATGAAGTTTCAAAGTTGACTTGAAATCATAGTTAGCATTGAATATGAACAATTTATCCAGTCTCACTCGAAATGGGTTATTGCCTTTTGATATCATCAGATGACGGTGTTTTTGTATTCATTTAAGATGGCAATTTGCCTACTTAATGATACATTATCAAGTGGAAGTATACAATTCATTCAGTTCACTCTCTATTAACAATTTTAAATTATCCCCTCCTTTGTAATATTACAGGCTAGGGCACACTATCTAAGTGTTGCCAAGCAGATGAAGGTTTACGAAGACATCAAGTATGAACACTGGAGAGAGCATACAGAACAAGTGTTGCCAGGGCTCTTGAAGAGGAACCTACTTATCAAACCATCTGAGAAGATATACAGTGAGGGGCAGGATTTACTCCCAATAGGTGGCCCCACTGGACCTGATGATGGTATGTCACCATTTTGTTTGTGTTCCTTTTTCAATAATTTTATTAATGTATGCATTGATTTGTATTTTCCTTACTGATGTCACAAATGACTTTTTAAAAAATAAACTCAGGAGAATATTATTATGTTGATTTCTTAACCTTGAGTTGAATTAACTGAAGATTGATATTTGAGGGTGCATCTCTTTAAGCGTTCTTAGATTCATAAATGTAAAAGACACTTGATCTATTTATGACTTTATGATGATCCTGACTGCAACAATAGACAAATAAATGTTCCTAGCTTAGAATACCAGAGAAATGCACCCCAGTTTATAAAACAGTAGTATAGATAGTGTTTATAAATACTTTCCTCGTATTTCACAATGCTGCCAGCAGGTACAGTAGCCGTGGTAGTCGAAGATGTGGATAAGGTCTCCAGCCTAACTGGTGGTAGGTGTCACGTGTGTGTGGGTATGATGTCAACATGTGATATTAATATATTTGGTGTCAATATGTGATATCAGTTTGTTAAATGAAAACATTTGATGTCATTGTGTTAACAATAACAACATGTGATGTGAAAGTGTTTTTTGGTTTGATTTATGAATGCATGTTAAATGTATTTGCACTAATGTGTCATTTGCATTAATGTGTCATTTGCGCTAATGTGTCATTTCTTCTTTTGTTAGGACATATGTAATGTGTAAATGTTTGACATATGTTATGTCAGAAAATTTGTGTTGATCTTTTAACATTGATGTTTTGATTGACTTTCTTTATTGTCATTTGTGAACCTTTCATATTGTACATACATATTGCATGTATTTTTGAAAATGAGTAATCGATAACACATTTGTAGAGTAGAGTTTGATAGACCGTAGCACCATGTGTATGTTTTGTTGTGTCGTAATATTTTGTATTGTTTTTTTAACAGATCATGATGAAATAGGTATTAAGTAAAAATTATACAGCGCGTCTAAAATTATGCAACATATCATTTTGGACACCCTGTATAAGTGTTGTGTTACTGTGTGTGTTGCTTAGAGTGAAATATTAACATTTACAGGGTGTTCCCAAATATTTTATATAATTGCAATATTTGTGATTGTTTCTTTGAAATTGTGACAGCTAAAACATGAGCAAAATTTAAGATGAGAAATATTTGGGGTACCTCTGTAATTGAGTCATAGGATGAAACCAGGCTTCTCTGTATGATACTCTTTTATCAGAGTAACATGGTAGCTAGGGCCCCTTGCTACAGCCATGATACTGCACAGTGTGCGTTAAAGGATGTGTTAAAGACAAGTCATACATAAGTTTGTATAGAATACATGCAGTGTTGAGTAATACCTCAACATACCATTGTTTTGCATACCATCAGTTGAAACCTGGTATGGATTTCAAAAGTATTTGTTCCCATAGTAACGTGTCAGGAAACCTCTCTTTCAAATGAAGTATGTCATTTATTGTCATTGTGCTTTAGCCTACTAAAAAAACAAGTTAAGATGTGAGAAAAAATTCAAATTGCACTGCTTTATAGAGAATTGCTCAACAATGTTGCTTAAAAGAGTGTTGCTAGAGTACCAGTGTTTTATAAGCTTTGTTCATTTCACTAGATTTTGCTTCAGTTTGTAATTTATATCAACAATTTTTAACTCATTATCAACAATTTTCAACTCATAATCAACAATTTTCTACTCATAATCAGGTATTTGTATTCAATTCTAAGGTGAATTGTCTTCTTGATCATATCACTAGAATTATGCTACATCCATACATAATTTTCCTTGCATGTGTATCTAGTGTTTATACAATTAGAAAGGTGTCACTGAATGTCTTATGCATTTTGTTATTCTGAATATGCAAATTTTAAGTTTTGATGATTCAAGGGAGTGAATAAAAATGTAATATTTTATGCATAATTTTCTAGGGACCCAGGCTGAGGTGAAATACTTGGTGGACTTTGACCCCCAACTGGCAGAAATAATAGCAGAAACTAGGTAAGAACTAGATCAGCACTTTATAATGTTACTATGGTTATATATATTTAATCCATGAACTGACAACAGCGTTCATTACTATTGTGCGGTATTCAATATTCATAAAGGTATATGTTTTTCTGTCCAATGCCCAATCGTTCAGTGAAGGTTTGATACAACGATAAATGTGATTCAACATTGAAATATAGATTTTAAACTTGTAAAGGAACAGAAAACAACATGGTTGGATCACAAATCATTTCTTGAATGTAGTCAAGGATGTCAGTTTTGAAATGAGAACCAGAATTGGTGGCATATTGTTATTTTTTGTGAATGGCATTTGGTGGTTCGTGTTTAGTGGTTGATGTGTGGTGGTTGGTGTTTGGCATCTGTAACGAATGGCAGGCGCTGACATTTTGCATGTTAATGCCTTGTTTTTTTGTATCCAATGAATATTAACCCATTCAATTCCTATATTCAGATACATGGAACAGATTGGAAATTCTGTCCCAGAACTTGCCAGGAATGTAGCACTACAGGAAGAAAAGTACATCAAGTATGTAGATGGTTTACGTCAGATGCTAGCTCGTTACCATGGTGTCCTGGCCTCCTTAGATAACGCAGAGATGGCGCTACTTGAGGAACATATGAAAGATTTACGACGTGTTATACGTCCTGGTTCGAAACGTCTCAATTGGAATTCACTGGGTATAAACGATTTCATAGGGAAATGTAATGCGGTAAGTTAAACTCCTCACTCATATATTCACCTGTGATACATTGTTTGTAGTTAACAAATTCAACGCTTTTATTATGTCACAACTAAAAGTGGTCTTTTTGTGGATGGAGTTTGGTGATTGGGATCTGTTTCTAATGGCAGGTGGTGACATTTTGCACATTAATACCTCATTTTGAATTTGATTTTACATTCAATCAGACTACTAGCTCCAGCCAAACTAATTCTATGAAAAAGATATCTGGGTGCATTTGTTTTTCATTCTGGAATTTTTGGGGAGGACCTCATTTTAAAAAGATTCAAAAAACATACTTGTTATATATTACAGGCAATTGGAAAGTTTGAGTCTCTAGTGAACCAGATCCAGAAGAATGCCAAGGATATAGAGCAGAGGTTGAAGATGATAGAGGGAGCTAGTCTCTTCAAGAGGGCCCCATTAAAGGCACCAGATTGTCTACCAGGCTGCAAGGTATGGGGAACTATACAGTAAAATATGTGTACTGTGAACATTTTGTTTTTATTTATTTATTAGACTCCAGATGTAAATCTGGAGTCTATAGCTTTTGTCAGTATTCTTCTTCTTCTTCTTTATTATTATTCTCTACACGTTTTCTCAGTAGTCAGAAGACATTGAGTCAAGACCTGTATATGGTCAATTTAGGTCCAGTATCTAGTTTCTCGGAAATTGGGTCAATTTTTTATCTAGGTCAAAGGTCAAGAACTAGGTCAAATCTTACATTTTCAACCTTCCGTCTATTATCTTCGTCGTTATTTATCGAAACAACTTTGTCTTTTTTTCATCATGTAGCTTAGAGACAGCCCTTTCATAAGTGTGCCATCAGATTTTTGATTACTGTTACCGATTTTGAGATATGGCGTCCGGAAAGTAGATCAGAACAAAAAGTTCTCCAAATTCAACATGCGAGTTATCAAATAAGTGCAAAATGATCTCAGGAATCCGAATCTGCAAACCAGATTTAGGTCAGACTTCCGGTTCGGAAGTTATGGCGTTTTGAAAGCTCAAAAATCGCTAAATTTGGTGCCCATGTTAAAGTGCCTGATAAACTATAAAATGCGCATGCGTCCAGGTGTTGATAAACTATAAATAGCGAAAACCCAGGGTTTGTCATCACAAGGTAAGCCAAGACGTGTTGAGTGAACATCTAGTGTTGATATTGAATTTACATGTAGCCAGATAAGTTTCCTTATTGAAATTACATATAGTTATTAGCAATACTTTGTAGGTGATAATTAATAAAATATGAGTACATATGAGAGAAATTTGCCATTTCGAACCTGTTGAAAGTTTGTGGCTCTCGGCTACACCGGGGAATTTACTTCCATGAGTACAGACACAAATGTGGGGCTCCCCAAGAGGTACGCGAGAAGGTGACCTGGCATCAAATGTACGACTAAATGCTTCTGTCGAGTAGATAAAAGAACGAATACGACAATAAGTTATTGCAAACGACAATTCCGAGCATTCATCTCACTGAAGTATTTTGAAGTGAAGAAAATATGATTTTTGATTTGAAACATGGATTCAGATGAACGTAACTTCATTCTGACAACTAATCAAAACTGAACAAAATTGATTATACGTAACAGACGATTTATTGTTTTACAATGTTTTGATCGGCTAAACGAATGAAACCAAGAAATTATGACATTTAAATGGCAATTTTGAAATTTAAAATTTAAAAGTGACAAACACAACCTTCCTATCCACTCTTTACGAGCCCTAATATGTACATGCAGCAGTGGTAGTGTACAGCTTATTATCACACTACCGGGCTTTGTATTCTAAAGCTTGTTGTTTTTAATAACACTGTTCACTCGACGTAAATGTTTTGTGTGTGCGCAGTCAACGATGATCATTTTTTTATCCCGGTTATATGACCTCGGCAATTATAACAAAACCGTACTAAACGAAAAAACGCAAATAAGAGAAAGCTTTTACACACATGTAAAAAATGAACTAGTCTAATCCGCCAGTATAAACTCTGTTATATACGTAGCCAGGTTGGGCGCACACTTTAAGTCAACGGGAAAAAAGATTTTTTGAAGTGAGAAATACGAAATATAGACTGAGTTCAGCTTAATTTAATGAAAGCTTTTAAAAGAAGGGGACCTCAAAAGCCATCTAGCTTCAAAATTTTGACACCAAAATACCTAGGTCAAAATCTAGGTCAAATCCAAAGGTTTTCCTTATTTTTGCGATTCTGACACTACACTTTAATTATATTCTTTGAAATTGTGTATACATGTAGCCAAGAGTGTGCTAATAGTGTTAGCCTTTTGCCGTCAGAGAGTATTTTGACCCACTTTTGAGATATGGTGTCCGGAAAGTAGGTCAAAATAAAAAGTTCTCCAAATTTAACATATGAGTTATGAATTAAGAGTAGAATTGTCTCAGAAATCAGAATCTGCAAACTAAAATTCGCCAAATTTAACGTATGAGTTATGAATTAAGAGTAGAATTTTGTCAGGAATCCGAATCTTTAAATCAAATTTCGATCCGACTTTTGGTTCGGAAGTTATGGCGTTTTGAAATTTCGGAAAATCGATCTGATGGTATCCTGATAGAAAGTCAAGAGTAGAGAAGGAAATATTGAAAAAGTCATCCATCCTTCCTATCTGATCTTATCCTATCCTATCCTATCCTTCCTATCTATCCTTCCTTTGTATCTTTTCCTTCCTATCCTTCCTATCCTCTCTTATCATATCCTTTCTAACTATTCTGTTCTATCCTATCCTTCTTTCTTATTCTATCCTATCGTTCCTTCCTATTCTATCCTATCCTACCTTCCTATTTTATCCATCCATCTTTTTCTGGATGACTCGGCTTATTCTGGATGACTCGGCTAAAAAAGGTCTAAATCTGGAGTCTGAAATTGAACTTCGTTCAATTTCCAAAGTCTAGTTTTTCTTGTAATTGTCTAACATTGATTAAGTGCATCATCAGTGCATATATCAATGGTATTCATTGAAAATATGTTACAATGCATTTCTTTTGAAAAAAGCACTGCTTTGGTCATGTAGCCAGGTGTAAAGAGGGGTCATTAACATTTAATATAATGCAACCGAGCTTCAAGGTTCTGTTGATCTCGAAACAGTGTGTATTCTTCACATCTCAATTTTTCCCATTTTCTCTATGACTACATGTACAATACATAAGCATCCATGTGTTGATTAAATAACATTGTTCACAACCATGTGCACAACCATCTCACTCTGCCAATCTAAATGATGAACTGATTGATTTTAGTGACAGGAGCAATATGAAGGTGTTTGATTTGAGCAACTTTAAATGCCAATGATGAATGCATTAAACTTATATTGGTCACATAAACATGCCCACTGTTGTAATTTCTCACTTTTTGTTCACAGGAATTCTTTGAGTATATAGAGAGGGAGCGTTTCAAAGACTACGAGACCCTTGCGAGGAAATATCGAGCTATAGGGCCCTTATTGACCAAGATGGAGGGATTGGTGGTCCATACAAATACAGGAAAGTCTCCTAAACTTGCCCAATATTATGGACATTGGGAAAGAAAAATATATGGATCTCTAAGCAAGGTATGAAAAATTATTTAGTTTTTGCTTTCATAAAAGTGAATTTTACAAATTAGTACTTTTACTGTTATGAATATCAATGGATAAAAATGTAAATTATGATTGTAGTTTCCTCTGGCTCAAGTGCAGTTTTGTTTAATTCTGAACCATGGCTAATTTGTAGTTATCAAATTTCCTCACCGATAGACCATAATGTTGCTTAATCCTGTGCAACATTCCTTCTTAAATATGGCAAAAACAAATGGCAAAGTTCCAGTAATAAATATGTTTTACTTTCTTTGTAGCTGGTAACCAACAATCTGAAGGGCTTCAATGCTGCAGTGGTAAGTGAATCTCCTCTTTTCCAAGTTGAGACTCTACTTGCTGCCCCTGATGTTGTGCTCCACCCTGCGGCCAATGAGGTCTACAAGCTAACTCTACAGTGTGTGAGAGACTGCGTTGAGGGGTATGTCCACATTAGGTTTTCTAATTGCTTTATTCATCTATTCTTGGATACAAAATCATTTTACAATAACTTGTGTCATTTTACTATCCTCGGGTCATTAACTGAAACTTTGTTAAGTTTAGAATTCCTAAACAGATAGTTGTAACCATGGATGTAATGCTGTCATAGTAAGAGAAGAATTTCCTAGCATTACAAAGTTTCTGTTAATGGTCTCCTGGTGCTCAATTTGGCAAATGTACTAAAGAGACTAATTACACACATTTTGAAACATAATTTGTGAAAATAGGATAAACATTGTAAAAGATCAGAGCAACTTTAGTAAAAATTCAAGAATAATTCAAATCAAACTTATAGTTTTAATAATATGAGTATGGTAATGACAAGGAATATGTGCAAGAAATCACTTGCTCCACATAAGTTATGCCATAACAAATTCAAATAAAAATACCTACCACTTAAAAGTACCTTTCCATAAGACACAAGTCAGAGGGAGTAAGAGGGAGTGTTTTGTTCACTCTAACAATTGCCTTTTTGATTACAGAACAAAGAACTTTATTCGTTGGATGCATGGCACATGTTTGGAGACACCTCCACAGAAAATAGAAGGAGAAGATGAGCCATACGTGTTCAGCTTCTTCAGTGACATTTCAGCAAGCCCTGAAATCATAGAGCTTGTACAGAGTATACAAAACAGCATGAAAAACACTCTAACAGGCCTCACTAGGTATCTCACAAGGTGGAAGAAATATAGAGGCATATGGAAAGTGGACAAGGTGCATTTCCTTTTCAATTCAATTTTAAGCAAGGAGTCATGACCATAATTTTATCTTCGTTATTTGAATCAAGCTATCGGGGTATATTTGCTAGATTCATGTTTTGCAGGCAGAAATGTTTGTAAACTCAATTATTGAACGTTTTTTGAAAGTTAGCAATAAGCTTAGTCTAGCTAGCTACCCCCCTGCCCCCCCCCCCTATCTTAAATCAAGAATTAAACAATTAGATTCAGCTTTCTTATTGATGCTTTAAATGTGAACCAACAATATATTGCTTTATGTTAAAACTTTTAACATTTACATTTCACCCAATTCTAATGAAAAATAGAACTTTTACTCAATTACTGATTATCCATTTTTGGTAGTAGCTCTGTAGAGGCTGATAACTAGATCGACCTTGAAAGATAAAAAATCAGTTTCTACTTAGCTGTAGCATAGATATTATCTTATTGGCTGGAATGAATTGAGTACCACCTTTTGGCTTACTTAATGTTATTTCATCATTTCAGTCTGTGTCAGTAGAGAAATGGTTTGCCAAGGATCCAAGTGTTGTCTCCTTCGACGATCGTTTCCAATATTACTTCAAGACCATCGATGATGTGGAGAACTTGCCCTTGGTGAAAGACCAGGAGTGTATCAGACTTCACATGGCTCCATTGGCCAGCGCTGTGAAAGAACATGCTAAACAATGGATTGAAACTTATGGTACAACACTAAGAGATTCTGCCAAGACACAACTTTATAGTCTACGTGATGAATTTGATGTAAGGATTTTTTTACTCAGGGTACCATTCTAATGAGAATATTTTGAATTACAATTTTCAAAACAACAGTAAACTTTGATAAGAATAACTTGGGAGAAGCAGGGATCTTAGGTGGTGAAATTTTCAAGAAGCTTTCTCCAGTTAAGTTTATGATGAAAGACTGCACCTCAGAAACATTGGCAATTTTCATCTTTTTATGATGGGAATCATGCCTGTACCTAAACTCTAATTAGACCTTTAATTCCTAAGAATGTCAAGAATGAATCATGTGTTGAATTTAATAGTCAATCTTTAATAATATTTCTGTTATTATAGAGTAAAGGACATGCTCTTGGAATGGTAAATAATAATAGTTAAGCTAGTTTATTTATGATAAGCCAGTTAATGTTTGACAGTTAATTTTTTATTGACAGAAATGTACTCAAAAATGCTTTAATTCAGTATAAACAGAATAAAATAATTCGTTTAAGTTGAAAATTGATATGGATAGATATTTACATTTATTTTTATTTACATTTCTAGGACAAAGGAGACGATCTGGCAGAGACTCCCAACACTTTAGAAGACTTGAAGTTTGTACTGCAGACAATTACAGACATTAAGAATATATCCCTTGAGTCTGAACTGAGGATAAGAGATGTACAGGAAAGATACAGGGTGCTCAGTATATATGACATTGAGGTAAGATATGCGAACTTTACAAGAAAGATACAGGGTGCTCAGTATATATGACATTGAGGTAAGATATGCGAACTTTACAAGAAAGATACAGGGTGCTCAGTATATATGACATTGAGGTAAGATATGCGAACTTTACAGGAAAGATACAGAGTGCTCAGTATATATGACATTGAGGTGAGATATGCAAACTTTACAGTAAAGATACAGGGTGCTCAGTATATATGACATTGAGGTAAGATATGCAAACTTTACAGGAAAGATACAGGGTGCTCGGTATATATGACATTAAGGTAAGATATGCAAACTTTACAGTAAAGATACAGGGTGCTCAGTATATATGACATTGAGGTAAGATATGCAAACTTTACAGGTAAGATACAGGGTGCTCGGTATATATGACATTGAGGTAAGATATGGGAAAGTTACAGGTTGCTCAATATGTATGACATTGAGGTAAAATATACAGACTTTGATTTTTTATGATTTAATGTTATCGCATGCAAGTTATATCCATATTATAACATTCATGTGGTCTCCTTCGTGACAAACATGACACATTTTCTCCAAATACTTTTTGGCTATACATCCTCTTGAAAAATGAACGATAAACTGTTATTGTATTCTTGCAGGTGACAGATGAGGAAAAAGAGATCTGTGAGAAACTGCCTTACATCTGGGAGGACCTAGTACTTGAATCTAAGAATGTAGATGCTCGCCTTGTTGTTGTAAAGACCAAGTTTACTGAGGTATGTAATCTATGAGGACTAGTTCCTCCAGCTCACTCTGAAAATGAATATTTGTTTCAGTACTATCATCTTATGCAATATATGTTGCAAAAATGAACTCCTTTTAAAATAAAAGCTTCCAATTTAGAAACATATTTCATGAACTATAAGATTTTGCATGGGCAAAAGCCATATGACATTTTGCTGTCAATGAATGATGACCAAATTCCAAGATCATTCCTTCATCACTCACAAGGTAATTCTATGTTTGTCTCCGGTACAATTTTTGGGGTACCCTGTTTACCCTGAAAATAATCCTGTTAATACAATTTAATGTTTTCTTTTGTAGATCACCCAGCAACAGATCAAGGAGTATGCCAAGTCTCTTGAGGTATTTGGTGAGAGGTTCCACATGGAGGGACCTGGTGCTGTAGGGAAAGACTTAGATAAAGGTATAGAGACTTAGCCTTGCTGAATTTCTAATTACATACATGTACTTTATAAAGATACTTTTTAAAAATGGAATATTCAAGAAAAATACAGTTTTCATTGAACTTCTTTCGTTATAAACAGGCACTCAATTTTGTTCTTGGACCAAGTTTAAATTCATACTTTTTATCTCACTTTTTCAAAGTGCTATATCGGTGTTGTTTTATGCTATATGGACAGGTGTGTGGGTTGATGTGACTAGTGCCATTAGATCTGATGAGGTTTTAGGCATGCTGTGTAAATTTGCCTACCATTTTGAATTTTTGATAAAAGGGCAACATTCATCACTCTGTTTCTTTTTTTTTTTAGGTGTTCAGCTGATGAAAAAATTCCAAGATGAACTCAGCAAGTATGAGGCTGACAGAAATGAACTGGCGAATGCTGAGAAATTATTTGACCTTCCAATCACCATGTATCCAGAACTACTGAAGGTTCAAAAAGAGATGAAAGGATTGGAACAAATATATGACCTCTATGAGGAACAAAAGGTAGAAAAACATTTCTGATGAGATAAATATTGATACCAATGACTAGAAAACATACCATATTCCAAAATTGCTGTCCACGACAGGAATATGATTTTTAAAAAAAATTGTCGACATGGATTCTTCATTCTCAAAATCAAACAGTATTGTATCCTTGGTAAAAAATTTGAGCTGATTCTAAATGTGTTTGAAGGGTGGGAAATATGGTGTGAGAAGCCATGGACTAACTTAAAGATTCTGTTGATCTTAAACATGTTTCAATTTTAGAAAGCACGAGAGACATGGGCTGAGACTCTATGGGCCAACTTGAATATTCAACAGCTACAAGAGGGAATAGAGACATTCTTAAAGTCCTTACGTAAACTTCCTAGGGATGTGAAAAATATGCGTGTTGGGAAAATGGTAGAGGAAAAGTTAAAGGAGTTCAGAGATTCATTGCCATTGTTTGTTGATCTTAAACATGAAGCTCTTAGAGACAGGTATGTACTGTATAGACAATGGGACATGGGTATACAATGTTTATTGCACTTTGACTGCTAAATTGTCATTTTTTTGTGCTGCCATATATGACAGCTCTACTTTTCTCTTAAAATTCTCAGTGGAAAGTGCTTGAGTCAATTTTCAGTATAGAGTCCATAAAAACATTGACTTTTACCAACTTTTTAACCAATATCTATTTTGCACATATCTATTCTTTCAACTGCTTCATTTTCAGACATTGGAAGGACTTGATGAAGAAGACTGGCCAATCATTTGACATGAACCCAGAGACTTTCACTCTACAGAATGTATTCGCTATGGAGCTACACAGATTCCAAGAAACTATAGGAGACATTGTCACAGCAGCTACCAAAGAGTTGAGCATAGAAAAGGTAGGCTGATGTCAATGTGGACATACAAAATGTCATGTGTGTTAATTATCCAAATTAAGACGAAAGGGGCCAATTTACCATGAACCATCAGGAAATCATACTAAGCCTTATACTAAAATTTTTTAGATCTCATTTTGTCATATCTAAAGGAATACGTTCAAAGATATTTGCATTTGATTGTTCAAGTTAGTTTTAAACTGTATCATCTTTATTCCCACTTCAATTACGGACAATTGGTCCGAAACTCAATTTTTATAAATAGTTCTGAAATCCTTACACCCGGATACTGACCATCTTATTACGCTCGGTCTTCACCGCATTTGACTGATGGGAGCCGAATGAGTACATGTAAATATGGATACTGACCTCATACAATAATTTTAGTATTTTATTGTTTTATTTAACATTTTTGCAATCATACCTTGATGGTTCTAAATTGGATTATCTTGTTATTTCAGGGTGTAAAAGAAGTGCAGGAGACCTGGGACAGCATCAAGTTTTCAGTTGGGAACTACACAAAGGGAACATCAAATCGAGGCTACATCTTGGGTAGTGTGGATGAAGTCCTACAGACTCTGGATGACAATGCTATGAATCTACAGAGCATGTCTGCTTCAAGGTTTATTGGTCCATTCATGACTAGTGTACAGAACTGGGAAAAGTCATTGTCTCTCATCAGTGAAGTCTTAGATGTAAGTAAATGTACTGTTATAATAATTTTTTGTTATTTTTGGATGATTTTGGGATTAAGGCTTTGAATGATAATTGATCTTTAGAGGTCAAGATTATAGGAAAGACCAGTGAAACTTCATTTGCCCTGGTTAATTTTCATTTTTGCCATGGCTAGTGGGTCTGGATGAATGATAACAATGGCTATTTTAACATGTGATTATTTACACTACAGGGTGTCAAAAAAATGGCACTCCTCTCTAGAGCAAAAACTCCTCAATGTTATGTGGCATGTCATATCTCATTTGAAATATGATTTATTCTGTAATGGTCATTGTGCAATGTGAATTTCAGGTGTGGATGGTAGTCCAAAGGAAGTGGATGTACTTAGAGGGTATATTCATTGGTGGGGATATTAGGTCACAGCTGCCTGAAGAAGCCAAGAGGTTTGACCTCATAGACAAGACTTTTAAAAAGGTAAGTTCTGAAGAACAGTTGTTATGAAGATATGATGATAGATATGATTATGAAGGTAAGTCCAGGAGTACAGTTGTTTAATTATGAAGAAAGGTGTTTTACGTTGTGACTGTTTATGGTTTTTGAACATTTTGTATAATTGTTTTTAATAATCACTGAAAGAATACTATTCAATGCTGTTAGAATAGAAGCCATATGGTGTGAAAAAAACAGCTATGAATTCCATGATTAGATCTTAAAACATCATTGTTGTATATTTCCTAAACTCTATTGATAACATTGATTGACAAAACAGACTCTCAGACCTAGAAAACTTATCTCATACGGCATATATCTGCTAATATTTCGATGTTTCTTTTTTTGCAGATTATGACAGACACACACAAAAACCCCAATATCAAACACGCATGTCATGTACAAAATAGACTCTCAGACCTAGAGAACTTATCTCTTGGTTTAGAAAAGTGCCAAAAGTCACTCAATGACTACTTAGACTCTAAAAGAAATGCCTTCCCAAGATTCTTCTTTATCTCTGATGATGAGTTGCTGAGTATTCTGGGAAGTAGTGACCCTGAGTGTGTGCAAGAACATATGATTAAGGTAGGTCCTGGTGTGAATTTTAAGTTGCTATGATATTACTCAGATTTATATTTTATTTCTTTGTTATTTTTAATTTGTGCAAGCAGTTCCATTCAATCTCAATGTTTTAACACTTCCATGACTAGATTTGTTGTGTTGAAGTTAGATATCACATTGACTACCATACCTATGCAGAGTGCAGACACCTATATTACTATTGATACATTAACTCTTTCAATCCTTAAGATTCAATTTAAAATGAAATACAATGCCTTGGATTTTACATTGGTCTTTGAATGCCTAAGATTTAATTCATTATGCATTAACTCTTCAATGTCTAAGATTTAATACATGCGCCTTTCAATGGCTAAGATTTAGAATATGTGACTTTCAATGCCTAAGATTTAGAATATGGGCCTTTCAATGCCCTTAGATTTAGTACATGTACCATCCTTCAATGCCTGAAGTTAATTCATTTAACACATTAACTCTTTATTGCCTATATTCCAGATGTACGACAATATAGCTTCTCTGAAATTCCAAAAAGGCAACAACAACGAGACTCTAGCGACTGCTATGGTCTCAAGTGAAGGAGAAACCATGGAATTCCGTACTAATATTACTGCAGAGGGTCGTGTCGAGGACTGGATGACAGAGATCTTAGATGAGATGAGGAAATCTAATAGGCTTATAACAAAGGAGGGAATCTTCACATATTGTGCTAATGGAGTAACAAGGTGGGTTTGAGTATGTAGGGCTACTTCATTTATAATTCAAAAATGTGGAGTCGAGGTAGATTGCGTAAATATAATTGATTATGTGGAATATAATAGGGTTTTTTAAAAATGTCATGGCTATCTTAATAGATAACAATCTTGTTTATATTTTAATAGGTATAGTATATGCCCCTACCTTATTTCCCAATTCCTTTCCAAGGTTTCATTAAAATAAATCCACAACTTAAAGTTTAATGGTTGATATGGTAACCAAGATGATGATATACACTGGTTCATGATTTTTTTTGCTAATTCTCATTTCTGTTTCGTTAATTTAAAAGTACATCTAAAAATACTGAAAATTTTATGGTTGCTATAGAAACCAAAATGATGATACATATACTGGTTCTTGTTTCTAGGGTTGACTGGATGCTGCAGTACCAAGGTATGATATGTCTAGCAGCCAATCAGGTCTGGTGGACTTGGGAGGTGGAGGATGTCTTCAGAAAAGTGAAGAAAGGAAACAAGACAGCTCTCAAAGATTATGCCAAGAAACTTCATAAACAGATAGATGACCTTGTAGTGCAGGTAAGCAGCCAGTTGATTTTTTTGTTTTGTCTCCAACTTTTTTGTGCATGGTGGTCAGTGGTTGGTGTTTGACGTTCGGTGTCTGTAACAAATGGCATTTTGCATATTTATATGCCTTGTTCTCAATAATACAATATTAGGAGCATCATTTTACATGTGATGACTTCTAGATTGTTCTAATATGCATTTATTATCTGATTGTTTATTCAGTAAATAACTCTCAAGAATAATTTCTTATCTTCTTCATAATTGTTTGAAAATGTTTTTAAATTCATAATTTTTGAAATAATTTGGAAGTTGTTTTTAATCAAATGTTTGGTCATGTGATGTATTTTGACCAATCAGCAAAGCAAGAATCTCCAATATAATTCTGATGTTATATTTCAGGTGAGGAGTCCTTTATCAAAGAATGATCGTGCCAAGTTCAACAGTGTGTTGATCATAGATGTACATGCCAGGGACATCATTGATGGCTTTGTTAGAGACAGGTAGGTTTCTATTAAACATTTTACCTATCAGAGAAGTTTTCTTTTTTGTATGCTTTTGACATTCTGATACTCATAGCATCTCTCTCTGTTGCATCGCAGATACGGCCTATCCAGAAGGATAGAGATGGAGAGGGTGTGGCTTACCACGATGTGCTTTTGATGTGAAGATTTATTCACAGAGTTGAGAGGGTTCTTTTTTCTTTAAAGTTGAGAAAAGTTGTTCAATAATTAACATGCAGAAAATATTCTGCCTGTATTTCCTAAATTTTGATTGATACATATGGTTCAATGTCTTTAAAAATCTCAAAAGTATTTCAAGATCTCATTGTATTTCAGTATTATGGATGCTAAGGAGTTTGAATGGGAGAGTCAGCTGAGGTTTTACTGGGATAAGGAACCAGATGAGTTGATAGTGAGACAATGTACTGGAACATTTGGGTATGGGTATGAGTACATGGGGCTCAATGGAAGGCTAGTCATTACACCTCTTACAGACAGGATCTACCTTACTTTGACACAGGTATGTGATATTTTGCCTTTTGGATATGGGTGTGAATATAATGAGTACATGAGCTTAATGGAAGGATCAAGTCTGACTCTTACAGATAATGGAAGGTTCAATTCTTCCCTTTACAGACAGGATTTAATTATCCCATCGAACGAAGTTCGGAGGGATATAGGGAACGCCTCCGTCCGTCCATATGTACCGTACGTACGTCCGTCCATACGTACCGTCCGTCCGTCCGGGCAATAACTCAAATACCATTTGCCCGATTTTGTTCATATTTTATATACATATACCCAATGGGTTTAGAAGTTCTGCTCGAAAACGGATTTTCAAAATGGCGGCTCATTTAAAAATGGCGGCCATTTTAGTACCAATTTTACAGTTATTTAGGTACTGCATATAAAACTGTAATAACAATATGTTTTAAATGTAAAAAAGTTATATAGAACATTGATTAAGCTAGAAATGTAAATACAGAAGAAATGCATGGCAGCCATCTTGAAAAATGGCTGCCTTTGCACGTCTTTTTACGATTTTTGCTGTAACTTGAAAAATAGTGGAGCGATTTTGTTCATATTTGGTATGTGAATACTTTAAGCATGACACAATGTCTAATGACATTTTTGGTAGTAGGCGGCCATTTTTCAAAATGGCCGCCATTTTTACGTGTGTTATTTAACATTTTTTACTGTAACACAAAAAAAAGTAGTTGAGCAATTTTGTTCATATTTGGTATGTGAATACTTTAAGCATGGCCGAATGTCTAATGACATTTTGGGTTGTAGGCGGCCATTTTGAAAAATTTGTCTTACTTAATTGTGCCATGAATTTGCAAGCCCTGTCTTACTTTGTCCCACCATCTATTTTAGGCCCTATATTGTATTGTCCCACCATCTATTTTAGGCCCTATCTTGTATTGTTCCACCATCTATTTTAGGCCCTATCTTGTATTGTTCCACCATCTATTAGCATAGGCCCTATCTTGTATTGTTCCACCATCTATTAGCATAGGCCCTATCTTGTATTGTTCCACCATCTATTAGCATAGGCCCTATCTTGTATTGTTCCACCATCTATTAGCATAGGCCCTATCTTGTATTGTTCCACCATCTATTAGCATAGGCCCTATCTTGTATTGTTCCACCATCTATTAGCATAGGCCCTATCTTGTATTGTTCCACCATCTATTAGCATAGGCCCTATCTTGTATTGTTCCACCATCTATTTTAGGCCCTGTCTATGCAGCTAGGAGGGGCCCCAGCTGGGCCTGCTGGTACAGGCAAGACAGAAACCACCAAAGATCTGGCCAAGGCTCTAGGTTTACTCTGTGTAGTAACCAACTGTGGAGAAGGTATATACACTAGATTTTACGATAAAGTATTCTATGACAATTTATCTAGAACAGAAAACAGAAGTGCTTATACATTTTAGTCATGAACTATTTACTTTAATTTTTTTTTATTTAAATCTTTATTTGTGCAACAATTTTTTGAAAATCTAGAGCACACTAAAACTTGTGTTTTCTGTATCGAATGCCTTCCAAACTCCATATCATTTGTTAAAAAGTGTCATTTTCAGCCTTTTCACATAACTTTTCAGCCTAATAGCTTTCACATAACTGTAGAGATGAGAGTGTTTGTCACACACAGTTTGAGAGTGACAGAAATATTCAGTTTGTTTAACCTGACCACATTACTAACTTTATTTATGCATGTCTGTATCATAGGTATGGATTACAAGGCAGTGGGTAAAATATTGTCTGGTCTCTGCCAGTGTGGAGCTTGGGGGTGCTTTGATGAGTTTAACAGGATAGATGTCTCTGTGCTCAGTGTCATCTCGACCCAGCTGAAGACGATGCAGAATGCTTTAATAATGAACCTGAAGAGATTTCACGTAAGATAGTCAAGTGAACTCGACTTAATGTTGTTGTTTCACGTTTCTTTTTGACGATTTGGATATTTGTTTTTTATTTTTGTTTTCAACATTTGCGTCGAGGATATTAAGCCCTGTATATTGCGGTAAATGCTTTTCTGCCCTCTATGCTCAACAAAAGTTACACAGATAAGATAATGGATCCAATGCTTCAACTAGAATGTATTAACTCTTACCTTAAACACAGGAAGTACTTGATAATTGAAGAAATGTAATCATTTTCGTATATGTTTGAACCAATTTCCAATATGGTTCTGAAGGTCACTCAAGGTCACTGAATACTGTCTAAATGTGAAACCATGCAACCAAAACGAAATCGTAATTATTTATTACCAACATATCTGTTTTCGGTTTCTTCACCCTCCTTGGTGTCTGAGAAGGCGATTCAATTGTCATAAGACGATGATAAACTTTCGAGTTGAAATCTCGATCTCAATATGGCTGCTGTTATTTATTGTAATTTCGTTTTTCGCTTCACCTAGAGTTTTACTTTTACACAATCATTACCCAGAATGCATCTACACATGGGGAAAAAAAAATTTTCCAGAAAAATTCTTATACTTCTTCAATTATCAAGCGTTTGACGTGTGTAAGGTAGGATTAAATACATTATCGATGAAGAGCATATTCTAATACATAATTTGTGTGATTTTGGTTGCCTAAACAGGCCAGGAAAGCATTTCCCTCAATTTACAACCGGGAAGTGTGTACGACCCTAGTATGCAAGAAAATAACAAAAAATAAATATCCAAATTATCAAAAAATAATGACAAATAAAGCATACGATGGTCGGATTTATATGACTAACGTAAGAGAATCAATTAACTTCTATTGGCAACATTATATACAAAAAACATCAAAAATTGATCAAACATTATCAAGTTCAGATATTCACAATTTCAAAGTTGATTTTCTGAAACCACTTTTTAATGAAACTTTGTATGTAGATATTATATCACTTTGACAAACTTTGGATATTAAATGGTAAAAAAATTAAAATTACACCTGCTCACATCTGGTGTACAGTAACTCAATATCTGAAGACCTCACTAATCCGAACATCTCAAAATGTTAACATTTTTTGGCCTTTTTTTGGACAATTTTATTGTCTCCCATTAACTCACGTGCTGAAATTGTGTTAATTTTTTCCTCCATGCATATTTCAGTTTGAAGGCCAAGAGATTGGTATGGACAACAGAGTGGGTGTATTTATCACTATGAACCCTGGGTATGCTGGAAGAACTGAACTCCCAGAATCCGTTAAGGCGCTGTTCCGCCCTGTAGTTGTAATCGTGCCTGACTTGCAACAGATCTGTGAAATAATGTTGTTCTCTGAAGGTTTCCTTATGGCAAAGGTAAGAGAATCTTTGAAATGAGAAAAGATAAAGGGCAATAACAGAAAATAAATAAAACAAAACACATTATAAACAGTATGTTTATAATACTGAAAATGAACTTTCAACAAATAAACAACTATTCTAGCTAGAACTTGAGCCAAAAAGGGTTTTGCATGTTCAAATTAATTAGCTTGTATGATGCAATAGCATTGATGTAAAAGAATTATAGTCTAGTAAATTGAAATATCGAAATTTGTTACCTTTTAACAAAGTTTGCAACTTCATGTTATAGGTTCTAGCCAAGAAGATGACAGTGTTGTACAAGCTGGCCAAGGAACAGCTCTCCAAGCAATATCATTATGACTTTGGTCTTCGTGCATTGAAATCTGTGCTGGTCATGGCTGGAGAATATACATGTACAATGTTTGCAACTTTATATCTTTTAGGTTCTAGCCAAGAAGATGACAGTGTTGTACAAGCTGGCCAAGGAACAGCTCTCCAAGCAATATCATTATGACTTTGGTCTACGTGCATTGAAATCTGTGCTTGTCATGGCAGGAGAACTGAAGAGAGGTTCTCCCGACCTTGCAGAGGTTAGTTTAGCATACAATGTCATACTAAATTAAGTCTTAATCAAGTACTATTTTTTTGCCTTTTTCACGGGGAGCATCATACATGTCCTACATGCATGTATGCATACTCGAATTCAAGGTTTCGCAGATATGTCACAAATGGAATTTTCGTAAAAAGTATGTGCCACAGATTTAAAGTGTTTCACTGTACTCCTCGAGAGTATTGGTCATTAGTTATTACAATGTCATATGCCTTTATTTAACAAGTCTTTGACAAAATATTTCAGTATTCTATTTAGTAAAGCAATTGTAAAGAATGTAATGTGTATGCAATAAAAATATCAGGCCCGTAGCAAGGGGGAGTTCAATGGGTTCAGGCAAACCCCCCCCCCCCTGGCCAAAAATTCTTTCAGAATCATGCAGTTTACACCATGCTGAGCACTTTTTAAGTGATTTTGGCCATTTTTGGACCAAAATTGTCAAAAAGTGAACCCCCCTTGGGAAATCCTGGCTACGGGCCTGAATGTTTAAATAATGACTTGATGTTGTAGGATGTTGTCCTGATGAGAGCCTTGAGAGACATGAACCTTCCTAAGTTTGTATTTGAGGATGTGCCCCTCTTCCTGGGTCTGATCCAGGACTTATTCCCAGGGCTTGACTGCCCCAGGGTACGCTACCCTAACTTCAATGATGCTGTAGAGGGTGTCCTGTCAGATAACAACTATATACTGCTTGACATACAGGTAAGGTTGCAAGAAGTTTGTAAAAGAGAGTTTACAAAAATGAAATATCACAGCCCCTGGGTGAAGAGTGGAATTGCAGTAGGTTAAAGAGAAGAAATTATGCTATGAACAGAGTGTCTCTCAGTTCTAAAATAACATGATGAAAATAGATTTTCCACATTTTTATTTACTCATTAAAAGCCATTTGATTTCTTTTCTTTTTCTTCATAGATTATATTTATTGTTTGATAGGCATGCATTTGCTCTGAACTTTAAGCCATTAATCCTAAGAGCACATATGGCTATTGAATTTTCCCTGCAGCTAGCATTGTATTAAGTTGTTGTTCATAAACTGTTATATTTCTTGCAGGCTGACAAAGTTGTCCAGATGTATGAGACCATGTTAACCAGGCACACTACAATGATTGTTGGACCTACAGGTGGTGGCAAATCTGTAGTCATCAACACACTAGCACAGGCTCAAACAAGGTATGTACAACCAACATCCAAACATTAAGGGTGAAACATCAGAACATCTTTCAAGCAGAATATCTGTCCCATAATAAGCTGAACATTTTGTTAAAAGAATCTATTTTGCAGATATCATAATATTCAATTAATTGTATTTCTAATTATCCCATCGAACGAAGTTTGGAGGGATATAGGGAATGCCTCAGTCCGTCTGTACATCCGTCCGTCTGTCGGTCTGTCTGGGCAATAACTCAAATACCATTGGCCCGATTTTGTTCATACTTTGTACACATATACCAAATGTAGGTAAAAGTTCTGCTCAAAAATCCAATTTTCAAAATGGCCGTTCATTTAAAAATGGCGGCCATTTTAGTGCCAATTTTACAGTAATTTAAGTACTGCATATAAAACAATAATAGCAATATGTTTTGAATGTAAAAAAGTTATATAGGATATTGATTAAGCTAGAAATATAAATATTTTACGATTTTTGCTGTAACTTGAAAAGGAGTGGAGCGATTTTGTTCATATTTGGTAGGTGACTACTTTAAGCATGGCCCACTGTCTAATGACACTTTTGGGTAGTAGGCGGCCTACCCATCTCCTCCCCCTTTCACTCCCCCCTTTCCACTCCCCCCTTTCACTCCCCCCTTTCCACTCCCCCTTTCAGTCCCCCCTTGCCACTCCCCCTTTCACTCTCCCCTTTCACTCTCCCCTTTCCACTCCCCCTTTCCACTCCCCCCTTTCACTCCCCCTTTCCCCTTTTCCACTCCCACCTCTCACTCCCCCTATCCCCTCTCACTCCCCCCTTTCCCTCCCACTCCCCCTTTTTCCCTCTCACTCCCCCTTTTTCCCTCCCACTCCCCCTTTTTCCTTCCCACTCCCCCTTTTTCCTTCCCACTCCCCCTTTTTCCCTCTCACTCTCCCCTTTCCCTCCCACTCCCCCTTTTTCCCTCCCACTCCCCCTTTTTCCCTCCCACTCCCCCTTTTTCCCTCCCACTCCCCCTTTTTCCCTCCCACTCCCCCTTTTTCCCTCCCACTCCCCCTTTTTTCCCTCCCACTCCCCTTTTTCCCTCCCACTCCCCCTTTTTCCCTACCTCTCCTCCTTTTTCCCTCCCACTCCCCCTTTTTCCCTCTCACTCTCCCCCTTTTTCCCTACCACTCCCCCTTTTCCCTCCCACTCCCCCTTTTTCCCTCTCACTCCCCCTTTTTCCCTCCCACTCCCCCGTTTTCCCTCCCACTCCCCCTTTTTTCCCTCTCACTCTCCCCCTTTCCCTCCCACTCCCCCTTTTTCCCTCCCACTCCCCCTTTTTCCCTCCCACTCCTCCTTTTTCCCTCCACTCCCCCTTTTCCCTCCCACTCCCCCTTTTTCCCTCTCACTCTCCCCCTTTCCCTCCCACTCCCCCTTTTCCCTCCCACTCCCCCTTTTCCCTCCCACTCCCCCTTTTCCCTCTCACTCCCCCTTTTTCCCTCCCAATCCCCCTTTTTCCCTCCCCCACCCCCCTTTTTCCCTCCCACCCCCCTTTTTCCCTCCCCCCTTTTTCCCTCCCCCCACTCCCCCTTTTTACCCTCCCACTCCCCTTTTCCCCCTCCCCCTCCCACTCCCCCACTCCCCCTTTCCCCCCCCTCTCCCCTATCCCCTCCCCCTATCCCCTCCCCTTATCCCCTCCCCCCTATCCCCCTCCCCCCTATCCCCCTCCCCCCTATCCCCCTCCCCCCTATTCCCCTCCCCCCTATCACCCTCCCCCCCCCTATCCCCCTCCCCCCTATCCCCCTCCCCTTTTCCCTGAGAGAAAGGGAGACAGGGGGAGGGAGATGGGGGGACTCATCCCCCCCTGTCCCTCTCCCCCTTTCCCTGCCATTGGAAGATGGTGACTTACAGGGTTTGGGTCATTGGCTTCAGGAGTAATTTTGGAGAGCTGTTCATATAGGTCACATCCTTCCTTGGACAACTCTCCCAAACTACCTCTTTACCCAATTTGACCCTCCCTGTAAATCACCTTCCCCCATGGACAAAATGTTCCCATGGACACCCAAATCCCAGACATGGGAACACGAGCTATGACTAGACCCCAGTCAAGCTACAGAACACCTCATAAAACAATCATTGGTGTACTGAGCTATGACTAGATCCCAGTCAAGCTACAGAACACCTCATAAAACAATCATTGGTGTACTGAGCTATGACTAGATCCCAGTCAAGCTACAGAACACCTCATAAAACAATCATTGGTGTACTGAGCTATGACTAGACCCCAGTCAAGCTACAGAACACCTCATAAAAAAATCATTGGTGTTCTGAGCTGCTGTGTTCCCATCACCCTCCCCAGTGGACACCTGTAATGTTGTTATTATCTTGTTATATACTACCTTGTCGACGCCTATCTTGGGTTCTGGACGTTATGACGAGGGGCCCCTTTGATGCTCTCGCTAGGTCTGATAGTTGTCGCTTATTTCAGTCTCTTATTTGGTTCTTGGTTCATTTGAACAACGTTATGTTCTTATTTCTTATTTTATATCTTCACATAATATTTACATGTTGATGCTTTGACTTCTCTTTGTGAACTAACTGTTCTTTTCAAAATCATAATTGGCTTCTCTGATTGCACTTTCCAGTTTTGAGTCTGGTTTAGTTTACTCTAGTGCCATCTTTTGATCAACTTTAAAACTTTTAGTTCCATATACATTACATCTTCCCCCTTTCTTTTGACTGTTTTTGGTCTTTTTCTATCTTTTTCCATAAAACAGTCACATCTGATATGACTTTCTTCATTAAGGGATGGATTGTCCCCAAAAAGTTAAAAATTGTCCAATAAACTAATTCTCAGGGATTGCTTTTCCCAAAAATTAAAACTTCCCCTTATTAAGGATCACTTCTTCAAACTTCAAATGTCCTCAATTATGCACTTTTTACAATTGTGTAATGTCTTTAAATGCATAGAATGATACTCTTCCTCATGTCTACTTCTTTTATTCTCACTAATGTCTGTTTTAATAAATTCATAATCGTGATAAAGCATCTGCATTTTGGTTGTATCGACCTAGCCTGTGTATCACTGTAAATCTGTATTGTTGCAGTGACAAAGACCATCTCATGAGTCTAGGGTTAGTGTTTTTCATGTTCTTCCACCAAACAAGAGGGTTGTGATCTGTAACAACTACAAATTCCCTTCCTAACAGGTAATAGCTCAGCTGTTCAATGGCCCATTTCATTGCGAGGCATTCCTTTTCAATAACAGCATAGTTCCGTTCTCTTGGCATCATCTTTCTGCTAAGGTATATCACAGGATGTTCTCCATCATCAAATGTTTGACATAAGATTCCACTTATACCATAGTCAGATGCATCTGTCATTACAATGAATTGCAAGTTGAAGTCTGGTGTTCTTAGGATAGGGTGTTCACACAACTCTTTCTTCAGAATTTGGAATGAATGTTCTGCTTTGTCATCCCATGGTATCTTCTTAGGAATCTGTCTTCTTGTCAGTTCTGTTAAAGGGTAGGCCTTTGTAGCATAATCTTCAACAAAGCGTCTATAGTATCCTGTCATTCCCAGGTATGTCTTGAGTAAGGACTTTGTTTCTGGTCTTTCAAACTTCTGTATAGCTTCTATAGCACTTGGTTTTAGTGTTACTCTTCCTTTGCCAACTTTGTGTCCACAATACACAACATTACATGGTGGCGGCAAACGACAAGAACCACGCTTCAAGCGCTACACAAGCAATACTAAGGACGAGGTAATATAATTGCTATTTTGTTAGGAAAATTCCATGAAGAGCTAGAGACTTTGATGTGAACTCAAGACAAAGAACTTTATTCATGTAATGTTGTTATTATCTTGTTATATACTACCTTGTCGACGCCTATCTTGGGTTCTGGACGTTATGACGAGGGGCCCCTTTGATGCTCTCGCTAGGTCTGATAGTTGTCGCTTATTTCAGTCTCTTATTTGGTTCTTGGTTCATTTGAACAACGTTATGTTCTTATTTCTTATTTTATATCTTCACATAATATTTACATGTTGATGCTTTGACTTCTCTTTGTGAACTAACTGTTCTTTTCAAAATCATAATTGGCTTCTCTGATTGCACTTTCCAGTTTTGAGTCTGGTTTAGTTTACTCTAGTGCCATCTTTTGATCAACTTTAAAACTTTTAGTTCCATATACATTACAACACCCCAATCCCAGACACGAGCAGTGTCAGGTCAAAAGACAAGGTTGGTTTTACCCAGCCACTGTCAGTGATCCGACATATCAACCATGTCTAAGCTCTGCCCAGCCTGACACAAGCTCTGACTAGACCCTAGTCGAGCTCCAGCACACCTCATAAAACAATCATTGGTATACTGAGTTGCAGGCTTTACATTGGACTGTTTGGAGACAAGGTAAATTCAAAATTCAGAAGTAATGGTTTTAACTTTAAGATATGTTTTTCAGCTTTTTAGTTACAAGCAGTGAAAAATATAATCATTAAAAAACACAAATTTTAACATTGCAATTTCTGAATGTGATGAATCACTTTATTGGTTAAAATGTAATAGGATTGATTTAATAATATCATTTATTGCTTGTTTGGTCATTCAATCTTGGTGATTTAGCAGGGTACATGTTTCTTGTATCAATATGAAGAGGTGAAGAATTACACTAATAAACTTGTTCTTAAATTGGCTAATTTCGTGCTTTAAATGAAAGTGTCAAAGATATCCAATAACTGAGTGTACAAATTGGTTGGAACTTTTCTGTATTAAATATCCAAAAGGAACATTTTGCATTGAAAATCTTCAGTCCTGAACAGTAAACAAACTAAAAGGTAGGAACTGTACTGTAATTTTTCACTATTGCAAGTTAGAATGATTCAGATTCAGATTGATGTCATTGATATGTTACAAATTGTATATTTAGACTTTGCTGCAAGAGAATTCATGGCTGATTATGTGCCTTTATTATCCCATCGAACGAAGTTCGGAGGGATATAAGGAATTGCACACTGTCTCATGACACTTCGCGTAGTAGGAGGTCGTTTTAAAAAATGGCTGTCATTTTTATTACATTTTTAACTATGACTCAAAAATTTTGGAGTGATTTTGTTCATATTTGATATGTGAATACTATATCTAGTAAGGATTGCATACTGTCTTATGACATTTTGAGAAGTAAGCGGCCATTTTAAAAAATAGCCAGCATTGGCGATTTTTTAAGAATTTTATATGTGGCTTCTTAAAAGCATATTACACGAGGGGAAAGTGTACCCGTGTATATACAACCTACCGCCGAGCAAGACACGCATATACCGCCTATCAAATGTTTGGTTAACTACATTTAATAGGAAAATGGACAATAAAGGTAATATTGGACTTCTTTCAATTCCCTTGGATGACATACTTGGGCCGGTAAATGTATGTCATATGTATAATATATTAAGTGTCAAAATATTAGGTCAAAATAGCACTTTTGAACAGCAAAATCTTCACATAAACTTTGTCCTAAAAGATCCGATGTTATCAGACATTGGACCCGATGTGATCGACGAGTAATATTATAAAGATCCGAAAATATCTTGAGTAAATGATCTCAGAATCCGAACATTACTTGAGTAAAATCTGTTGAGATCTGATTATATCGTCGAGTCTATGACATGCTGATGATGAAATAGTGTTAGTGTTACTTTTGGGAGTTTTCGAACCTTGATTTAATTGCCTTTATTAGAAGGGTTACTCGTTATTAATACTATTGTAACATTTTGACCCAGACTGACACAACAGAAATTAGGCTATCAACATTGGAGGATGGGAAAAGCGCGGAATTGTGTTTAAATCAATTATGAATATGATCTTTCTTCATTTTAGGAGCCATTGTACTGATATTTTAGTCAAACTTGAGAGCGAATGAATTGCATTTAAATCAATTATTATCCATATTTATGGATTAAAATGAATATGTGTCACGTTCCTAATCTCCACTGGTCAATCTTTTTTCATTTTAGTAGCCTTTCTACTGATATCTTATTTTATTCAATATTGAGATCGAATGAGCATAACGGGTAAACTTTGCATATTTTAGACCAATCAAAATATATAACTATTTTTCATATGTTTACGGTCTTGGTAGATACAAAATAACACGTACCAAACTCATTGGATTATGAGCATAATCAGATAGAAGTGGTGATATCATCAACAATGAAAATTATGGTGATTCGAGTGAAAGCATGAATTCAATGTTTTAAAGAACTTCGCGAGACACATACGTTGACGTATAGTGCTGCGGGAATTATATCATATTAACAGGAATATTTGTGATATACTTCATGTTAATATATGATCATTCGAAAGCTTACTCACTACCTCATCGGGTTTTACTCACGGTATAATCAGAATACTCAGGCAGTAGCATCGGGTCCTATTGAATCATACTTGTGGTATAATCGGGTCTTTCATTTTCAACTTTCACCGGTGATTTCAGTGATATGCAACGTATGGCAGTGAAACAAATGTAATATATTTTCACCTATTGTATCTTTGAATCAAATGGAGTAAATACAGCCATGGTTCTTACTTATTTAAGATGTAAAACGTCATTCTAATATTTAGAAGTTGAATTTAGCAATTTGAAAGTAAATATTGCATTAAGTACTCATTATTCTCTAAACATGAGTGCCTGGAACAACAATTATATCGGTTACAAACAATTCTGTGTTTTATCTATTTCTCATATTGAGAAATTCAATATAAAACAGGAGTTTTTTAACTTATCCCCTACATTTTCAGACATCTTCGGGTCTTTGCTCGGCGGTAGGTTGTATATACACGGGTACACTTTCCCCTTGTGATATTACCTCTTCTGATGACAACTTGGCTAGTGATCAACCATTTTGAAAATGGTGGCCTTTCTTAAGGGTGTTATTTTATGATATTTGCTATATTTCATATGTAAAAATGCCAGCCATTCGATGGGATTCGCTACGCTTTGGCGTTGCCGTTGTGCTGGTTAAGATGTGTTTTTTATCAAAAGGTTTATTTCATTGATCTAGTTAATGATAGAGTAGAAGCAACTAGTGAATACATAACTCTAGTAGTCACAAATTGCCATATTTTTCAGATTGGGCCTTGCCACCAAGTTGTACACCATGAACCCAAAAGATCGCAGCGTTGTTGAACTCTATGGTATCTTAGACCCAACCACTCGTGATTGGACAGATGGACTTCTTTCAAACATTTTCAGAGATATTAATAAACCCACAGACAAAAGTGAACGAAAATATGTCGTTTTTGATGGAGATGTAGATGCATTATGGGTAGAGAATATGAATTCTGTGATGGACGACAACAGATTGTTGACCCTAGCGAACGGAGAGAGAATTCGTTTACAGAAGCATTGTGCGCTGCTGTTCGAGGTAGGATATTCACTGTTCATTTGAAACTTCAACATAACAGATTTCGTCTCATTGGGTACCGTAGAAGCTTAAAGTCTTCTATTGTCCTCCTATATACTATATACTCAAAAAAAAAGTTCACGAAAGGGTTAACGCTTAAATAAAATTTGACTTTTCCTGGGTGAAAATTACAAATAAAAATTACTTAAGTTCAGAATTTCTAACTCAGATGTTCTCATACTATGACATCATAGTTTTCATATTTGCAAAATTATATTTAGGAATTGGTAATTTACCTCAGGTTTCTCACTCTATTCCACCTACCTTAACTCATATACCTATTTATTCTTCAATTACATTCACACCCCTTGGGGCCAAGTACATGTACAAACAAAAATTATAACAATTATAAAGGAAGGAAAAAAGAAGACATTTACATGTAAAAAACTACATAACTATTAGTATATGTTTCTAGGTGTCAGATCTCCAGTACGCCTCCCCTGCTACAGTGTCTAGGTGTGGTATGGTGTTTGTAGACCCTAAGAATCTTGGCTACACTCCCTTCTGGCAGAAATGGTGCAATGGAAGGCCCAGTAAGCAAGAACAGGGTGACCTGATGAGGTTAGTAGTAGCCAGTGTATACATGTAATGTAAACATAGTTTACTTTCAAGGTTTTCCCCAGTGTCTTTTCATATTTTGATGATGGAAAATAATTGGTTTTTATTAATTTCATTACACTTCATGAGGCCATCAGAAGTAGATTCTTTGTTTTGCGTCCTGGCAAAATCCAATCATCCAATCAGGGGATGCAAAACAAAGAATCTACTTCTTATGGCCTAATTGATTTTCGCTATGTCCTTAAGGTTTAGGCTAACTTAAGTTTTAACTCATGTTTTTTTGCAGGTTGTTTGAGAAGTATGTGCCCAACTGTATAGACATGATAATTGAAGGCATTGTGGATGGGAAACAACAGGAGAAACTCAAGACAATTGTCCCTCTCACAAATCTTAACATGGTAAGTAAGAATGCCTATGTACAGTATAAAACTATCATGTGGAACTAAGTGGAACACCCCTGTAGGTGGAGTACTGGCAAGTAGAACATTTCTGTAGTTTGAATACTTTCAAAATCTTGTGGCCCATTAACTTAGTGTTAATTGAAATATAGTGACTTCAGTTTCATTGGTGGCTTATATTATTAAAACCACATTCCTCAAAAATTAGGGGATATCATCTAAACATTCCCGGGATCCCAGGGGTCAAGTGCTTCAAACATTTTCAAGTTTGTTTTGCAAGTCTGTTTGCAAAAGAGTAAAATAATTTTAAGACTTGTAATTTTACGATGTTTGATTAAAGTTAGCCTTGGTATCTAAATAATACCCACAATCATAATTGCTATTCTATAGGTGACCCAACTGGCCATGATGCTGGACTCTTTACTGGTGAAGGATGTCGGGGAGGAGTTTGATCTCATGGAGGCTTATTTCCTACAGTGTCTCTACTGGTCCTTAGGGGCGGGGCTTCTGGAAGATGGACGCATCAAGTTTGATAATTATGTCAAGTATATTGCATCAATGACTATGGTGGATGATGAAGGAAAGATGGCGGGACCAGGTACATTGTCCACTTTTACTAGTTTTGAACTACATGTATGTCTTTATGTATATCTTTATGTGCATTATGTTTACTTTTTCTACACTCCTGAATTTTTTATTCATTAATGTTTGCATTCTACATTCATATTACATTCCTGTCCTATAAATCATAATAACCATGAATTTCTGTATCATTCTTTAAATGATTTTTTATGCTATTTTTATTTTCTTGAAACCCTTTGCTTTTGTTGCCAGTTTCCTGCTCGCATTGATGACATAAGTAATTCTTTGAGATTATTCAGGCCCGTTCTCTCAAAATCATGCAGTTTTTCATCATTCCGGGCACCTTTTAAGTGATTTTTGCCATTTTTGGACCAAAATTGTCAAAAGTGAATCCCCCCTGGAATTTTTCAAAAAGTGAACCCCCCTTGACAAATCCTGGCTACGAGCCTGTTTTTTATCATAAATTGTATTTAATACCATAGATGGTGAGGAGGTACAATGTTACGCCACAATAGGTAAAATAACTGAAAATATTTTAAGTAAAATGTGTAGTTATGTGTTAAGGCAGTTGTTAATACTTTGTATTAATTGAAGTATTTTGTATCAGTGATCTCCCCAGCATTAAAGCAAGTGGGCGCAGCAACCACCTGAGATTTTGAAAATAGGCTTGCACCCATCTGAAAATCCATTTGCACCCACTTGAAAATGAGAAAAAGCATGAAAAATTGGCATATTTTCACCAATTTTAGTCCGAATTGTGAAAATGAGTATTTTGCACCCACTTGAGAAAAAATCCTGTGGAGATCACTGTGTATTGAGATTAGTGTTGATGGCATATGATCAGTTGAGTTCCTAGATGGTCTTACTTTGGATGTTGACAAAGTGTTGATTATAAAATAAAACATCATCTGATTTAGACAGGCAAGCCATAAGTTTTATTGTATAATTATTGTAAATCTATTGTAATTGATTTGCTAGAGTTTGATTGTTTGAAAACACAATAATCTTCTATTTTGGTACCCTGGCACATTCTCGAAAAATAGAATTGCCCTCTCCTGGGTTTTCCACACATTCTGTTCAAATCCAATGAATTTATATAACAAATCTTCAGAATTTGGACTTTTTCCAAATGAAGAGACTCCCATTTACATCATCCCGGCTAATATGTATCTGTAATGATTTTCAGGTGAATTGCCATCCAGCTTTATACACTCTGTTCAATTTCAATGAATTTATATAACGAATCTTCGGAATTTTGACTTTTTCTAAATGAAGAGCCTATATATCTGTAATGATTTTCAGGTGAATTACCATCCAACTCCACACTCTTTGAGTATTTCTGGGATGGAGATAAGAAACAGTGGATTCCTTGGAACAACCTCGTACCAAAATACATCCACGATCCCGAGAAAAAATACAATGAGATTCTAGTACCAACGGTTGATACAGTGCGAGCTGATTGGTTGTTACGGCTCCAGACTGGGATCAGACGGCCAGCGTTATTGGTCGGAGAGACAGGAACCTCAAAGACTGCGACAACAGCTAATTTCCTAAGAGATATGGATGCAGAGGCAAATGTATGTTCCATTATTTCAAATTGCTTGTCTTAAACGTTTATACGTTTTCTGTTAAATACTTTTTAATTTTTGATTATTTAGATTTGTATTCTAGTAAACTTGATTGCATGCATTGCATACTATTTGAATCCTTTGGCTTTACTGTGACCACTTCTGTCATCATATTTGTGCAATTTTCTTACTCATTGAAATTTTTTAAATTCATGCTCCAATAAGTACTCTGAAACCTTATAGAAATACAATGTAACTACAATGGAACGTAGCTACACAAGAATACCTTCAACTTGATTTGTATTAGTATTAACGAAATAATCTATTATTGTTACAGCTGCTCCTGAACATGAACTTCTCGTCAAGAACAACGAGCCTGGACGTACAGAGGAACTTGGAGGCTAACGTTGAGAAGAGAACCAAGGACACCTATGGTCCACCCCCTGGGAAACGTCTTGTCATATTTATTGATGATATGAACATGCCACAGGTATGGATGGCTTCGGGGGTTAAAAACAAAAGTTGAAAACATGATTGCCCAATTTAACATATTGGCATTCAGTCCATTGCCCAATAAGCAAAAAATTCATTGCCAAGAGAGAAAAATAATTGCCATTGGCAGACAGGCAGTTGGGAGTTTTTGCATAATGGCATATCTATTGTGTTTAATATTTTGTGTAATAGTTCCTTATCAATGCTACAATGTACATCATATGCTGCACTCTACTCAACAAGCAATCATGACCCCCTTATTGGATCATGTGTTAAGCCTATCTCTCTTTGGCAATTTTCATCAAATTTAATCAAGTTCATTTAAATCATAATTTTTAACCTTAGGCTATTGGAATTGAGGAAAATGATTAAAATTCAAAATGGTTATATGAATCTTCCAACAAAGATAAATAAATATTTCACTTGTTATGGAAACACGTGTTTTTGATGCCCATTATTTTTGATTAGTCTGAAAAACTAAAGTATGTAAATATATTGAATATAAAACATTTCTGTCATCATCTCATATTAATAGAATATACATTGTATGGCCTTGTGAGGTACATGATTAAAAAGATTGAAATCGAAATTGAAAATTCATATTTTAAATTGTTCCACAGGTGGATGAGTATGGTACTCAACAGCCCATAGCCCTACTCAAGCTGCTAGTTGAGCGTGGTGGCATCTATGATCGTGGCAAAGACCTCAACTGGAAGAACATCAAAGACATTAGCTACATCGCTGCAATGGGAAAACCAGGTGGCGGCCGTAACGATGTAGATCCCAGATTCATCAGCTTGTTCAGCGTTTTCAATATGACATTCCCGTCTGATGAGTCTCTGTTTCACATCTATAGCTCAATCCTGACTGGGCATTGTGAGCCATTTGAGAAGGAAATACAACAACATGTGTCCACAATTACCAAAATGACCATGGAGTTGTATAGGTACTTTATTGTGTTTTTCAACATTTTTCTTCAGTTGTTTCTTCAAAATGTTTACCAGGAATGTCAAATATTAGGATAAGTATTTTGAAATAGATAAAGATACAAAATAAAGATACAAATGTTAAGAATCTCAAGCTATCACCATCAACTAGATGAGACAGACTTTAAACAAGAAAAGCCTGTGATAAATTTTATTGTTTTGATCTTTGAAAGAAAAAAACATCCAAAAACATCCTTATTATTTGATCTGAAACTATAAGCTATAATTTATTCAGGTGGCTTCCTCAGTACAACATAATTCCTTCCTAGAGGCGCATTGTTTAATCTTTGTTATTGTTTCTAGGCGTATTGTAGCTGAGCTTCCCCCAACCCCAAGCAAATTCCACTATATCTTCAACTTGAGGGATCTCTCCAGGATCTATAATGGCCTTGTCTCTACCACTCCTGATAGGTTTGAGAAAATTAACAAGTTTGTGAGAGTCTGGCGCAATGAGTGCCTCCGAGTCATCTATGATAGGCTAATACAAGAGTCAGACCAAACTGCAGTACAAGTGAGTTCTCTGTTTAAACTGCATGTGGTTAACATGCTTCTTATGCTACATTATTTGAAAGTATTATGTATAAGGGTTGAGTGCCTACGTGTCATCTATGATAGGCTAATACAAGAGTCAGACCAAACTGCAGTACAAGTGAGTTTTCTGTTTAAACTGCATGTGGTTAACATGCTTCTTATGCTACATTATTTGAAAGTATTATGTATAAGGGTTGAACAATAAATAGTACAGTGAATCCTATTAAGTGGAACACCTCTGTTAGTTTAACACCATAAGTTGAACAGATTTAACTTAAAACACATTTAACTTTAAAAATATTAAGTAACCCTAAAGGTGTTCCACTTTTCCATATTTTACTGTATTGCAATGAAAAATATTTAATGCCTTGTGTTTGTTACAATTACTTGGTACCTTCATTACCGTATCATGGGGTGAATCATTTTTAATTTCAAAATAGAACAGGTATATGAACGATTTATTGCCACTATACTGTTTGTTTGCTAATATGATACTTTCTCAGTGATATCCATATAATAGAGGGGGTGTAACCCATATTCCATATTATTTTAAATCTATTTTTGATTTTATCAAGTTGAAAAACTATAGCATATGGATTGTTATCTAATTTAGGGTATGATAAAAGAACTCGTAGAAGCCAACTACCCTAGCGAGCTTGGGTTTGTCACCAGGGAGCCTATACTGTATGGTGACTATAGGACAGCCCTTGAGGAGAGTGAACCCAGACTATATGAAGACATACAGGACTTTGATGCTGCTAAGGCACTCTTCCAAGAGGTAAGTGAATGGATGAATGATGGAATAGGGGAGGAGGAGGGGTCAGATTATGATGATGCCTATTGAAGTGTTAGCAAAATTGTAAAAAAACATACAAATACGTAAGCACAATTGGAATGACTAAAGTAAGAAAGCCATCTTATGAACAGACATTAATTTGATACACCTGAAATGCTAAAGAACAATTATTGAAAAATAGCACTATTGAAAGTTCAACTCAACTTGAAGATACTATGCCATGTGTTGATGTGGTGTCATATGACCTGGACCAACAGAAAATATCCAAAAAACAAACATTAATTTTATTATTTCAGATAATGGAGGAATATAATGAGCACCACACAGCCATGCATCTTGTACTGTTTGACGACGCACTGGACCATCTCACCCGCATACACAGAGTCATCCGTATGGACCAAGGTCACGCCTTATTGGTTGGTGTTGGTGGGAGTGGCAAGCAATCTCTGACACGATTGGCTGCCTTTACTGCTCAGTGTGAGGTATGCTTAGTAAAAATTATAGTATAAATCACTTGTATCAAGGTTTTTCTGAAAGAGAAAGCTGAACATGTTAAAATGTAATTTTCAAATATGTAAGCCTGTATGAATTTAAATTAATGAGTTGCTATAAATGATAAATTGACATTATTTTATCTTGCCTAAGTTGACGATAAAAAGTTTTGTATCATGTGCTAGAGACAGCTTAGCTAAGCTGGCATTCTATAAGTCTCTATCAAAAATCTTTATTTGGTACACAAACACTTTACTTCATTTCTTCTTTCTTTCTTTCTTTTTATTTTTCCTGATGTATTTGTCAACTTAATCATACCTCAATATTTCTTGATCTTTGTGAAGTGGGGGCACTTATAAGGGGGAGTGGGCTCTAAAAACATCCATTATGTTAGGTCTTGTATGCATGGTAACATTCTGTTATACATATCTTGCTTTGTTCCTCCTCAGGTCTTTGAGATTACACTGAGTAGAGGCTACAGTGAGAACAACTTCAGGGAAGATCTCAAGGTTCTATACAACAAACTAGGTATAGAGAACAAGAAAGTTGTCTTCCTCTTCAAGGACCAAGATGTCATAGAAGAAGGTGAGAAACTGACATTTTAATTTTGATTATTTAAGCAGCATATACGAGAAAGACGCACTGTTTTTTCCTGAGAAAAGTGTGGTGTTCACCTATCAAGGTTTTTTAACAAAGCTTATCTATGGAAAATTTAAAACTCCAAAAAATGTGACAAAAAATTGTTCATATTGAGAGGTGTTCAGGTAAGGGAGGTGTGGATGTATGGAATTCTATTTCTATGCTTGTTGGACTCCTTTGTACATTCAATTGTTAAATTCTGTCATTCCATGATTTTTATAACCTTTTTCCAACTTTAGCATGACAGAGCTTCTATGTGCCTCCAACTTTTTCTTTCACATTGTAACATTATATCAACTATAATTTCAGGTTTCCTTGAGTTGATTAACAACATGTTGACCTCAGGTATGGTCCCTGCTCTCTACCCTGATGATGAGAAAGATGCAATCATTGGACAGGTATGTGGAAAATGATCAATTTCAGCATTTGAATTTGATACTAGTATTTTAATTAACATTTTTTGAACTATTTCTTGCTCATGTATTTGCTCAATTGGATATGATATGGAAGTTTTGCTTCAAGTTACATAACATTACCTCTGAGACAAAAATATACGTACCATAATTTTAATGTCACCACCCCACGTGGTCTCCAACTTTTCGTGGCAGCGGTTGGTGTTTGGCAGGTGGTGACATTTTGCATGTTAATGCCTTTTTTCTCTATTTACACTGTTATTTTGATTGAATGTCCACATTTCAGATTGCCCATCAATTAAAAAAGGACAAGGTACCTCCAAGTACATACTGTTATATCAGTAAATGTCTCGTTGCAAACATTGTGACATGTTTAGAATGTCTAGATTATATATCTGCATGGAGAATGCTCTATAGTGAGCTTGAATGTACATCGTATGCTACAATGTCCATCATATACTACAATGTCCATCATATGGTACAATGTATATCGATGCTACAATGTACATCATATGCTACAATGTACATCATATACTACAATGTACATCATATGCTACAATGTATGCCATCTGCTACAATGTGGATCATATGCTACAATGAACATCATATGCTACAATGTACATCATATGCTATGCTCCACTCAAAAAAATTAGCAATCATGACCTTCTTATTGGATCATGTGTTAAGCCTATTTCTCATTGGCAATTTTCATCAAATTTCATCAAGTTCATTTAAATCATTAATGATTATTAACCTTGGGCCATTGGAATTGAGAAAACCGATTAAAATTCAAACAGGCTTTATCACACTATCCAATAAGGAACCAAGATTGTCAAACTTTTGGAGAGGAGTGTACCTTGTATTGTGTATTCTGTTCACAGTGTTTGCAACTACTGTGGATAAAAGTAAATGCATATATGTAAAGTATACATATCTGGTGAAAGGGGTAACCTATCTCAAGCCCCCCCCCCCTCCCATTTCTCTGGTAAAACGACTCCCAACCCTTGCATTGCATGTATTTCACTATTTGTATATACTTTCTGAACAAGATATTTAAGAACATCCTAAAAATTGAAAATGGGTTTGAAGCTTGAAGGTGCTGTATTATTGTCAAATGAAATACATCAAGAAAATGTCACAAAAATGAACAATAGACCTTTCCTATATGGTGAATCAAAGAATTATGGTATATTGGCGAGATTGATGTTTGTACTTTATCAAAATAAGCAAAGTTTATTTTATTTTTGCATGGGCAGATTGCAACCTTCAACGGATGACATCATCAATCTATCCAATATATCATAACTTCTTTGATGTACCTAAAGGTGGCATGGTTAATTGCAAAGTTCTATTGCATTCACTGCTTTAGATTAAACATTTCACCCAAATGCATGAAGATATGGTAAAACATGGAATCACGTATGTACTGTGGTGGTAGTAAATATGAAATAGACAAAAAACTAATAAAAAAAAAAATTTGTGTTACATTTTACCTTCATCCATTCATTTATGTATAGTTTCCTCATATAGTTTTCCCCATATATTCATTTGAGATCAGGATTGAAACCTCAAACATTGTCTCATTTAAACATTTGTTTTGTATTGTCCCTGACCTTTTTTTTATGTTCATCCCATAGTTTGACAAATATTGATTTTTATTCCCATTTTTGTCACTTGTATTAGTATTTTTCCAAAACATTTGAAAACGATTTTACGACTTTTTCACACTGAACTTAATTTCTTTCAGATGCGAAACGAGGCTTTGAAGGCTGGCTCTGCACCTGCTAGAGAAAGTATCTGGCAATATTTTGTGACAAAGTGCGCTAACAACCTCCACATCGTCATGGCAATGTCACCAGTAGGAGATACGTTACGTAACAGGTGCCGTAACTTCCCTGGTCTCGTCAATAACGCAAGCATTGATTGGTTCTTCCCCTGGCCTAAGCAAGCCCTGCTCGCGGTGGCTAGTGTCTTCATTTCAGCTGACGTGAGTATAAATTATCAATAAGCTTACAGTAGAACCTTTCAACTCGAAAGCCATTAGGACTGGTCAAAAGTATTTAGATCAGCAGGTGTTTACATCTCAAGGTTTATTTAAAGTTAATCCCGGAGAAAACAAACTTGGGACCAAGACAAATTGTTCACATTTAGATGTGTTCATATAAGAGCTAAATAGTGTTCAGATGTACAGGTATCACTGTATTTATGCTATGAGGAAGCCCACTTGGCAATATTACAAAAACTCAAGATTTCCTTTGAACATATCTAAAGCTAATGCCATATTGAAATCGGTGTTTGGATGAGGTTCTACCATTCATTCCTTTATATTTCAGAATGAACTAATTCCTGAAGAACACAGAGAGAGTGTAGTATCCCACATAGTGCAAGTCCATCTGTCAGTGAATGACTACAGCAAAGTGTTCCAGCAGAAACTGAGACGTGTTAACTTCAGTACACCCAAGAACTACCTAGATTACATCAACAGCTACTTAAAACTACTCGAAGAGAAAGATGCCTACATATTGTCCCAGGTGAACATTTTTGATCTTTGTATTTTCTCAAGTAAAGCTTTCTCTTTAGTATTTGATCAAGTAAAGCTTTCTGTTAAGTATTTTATCAAGAAAAGCTTTCTATTTTTTTCAAGGAAAGCTTTCTATTTAATATTTTTTAAGATGACAGTGGCAGTAGGTGTTCTTCAGTCAACGCCTGTAAAGTTTTTGGATTGGCAGAGTGTTTACATTTCAAGTTTTTTAACATAGAATACTAATGGTAGGTGGTGATATTTTGCATGTTTATGCCTTGTACATGTATACTATAGTTAAAAACATCCTATTATATTATAGTGTGAACGTCTCGGAGGAGGCATGCAGAAGCTAGCTGAGGCTAGTGAACAACTGAACGAACTGAATGAAAAGTTGGCTGTTCAGAAAGTTGCAGTCACAGAGAAGACAGCTGCCTGTGAGATCCTTCTGTCTGAGATCACAGCTGCAACCAGTCAGGCTACAGAGAAGAAGGAACTGGCCGTAGCAAAGGCAGTTGAGATTGAAGAACAAAGTAAGTGGTAAGAGTAAAGGGACCAATCCAATAAACCATAGTGTATTTCTTACAGTTTCAGATCCAAAATAGGATTAAATTATTATTAACTTATTGCAACCTGCAAAAAAATTTATTTTACAATTTCTTGTTGTATTAGAAAGTATAAAATCCTAAAATGTTGCACTAAAACTGAATTGCACTGAAAATAGCAAAACCATTGGGTGGGCACTGAGTATGGTATAAAAAGGTATTTCATCTTCTGCTGCGTTTGAAAAAAGTCAATTTCTTGGAGATATTTCATCCAACCTTACCATTGATAACGCTACTCTCCTTGCAGGCAAGGTAATCACTGTTGAGAAGAAGGATGCTGAGGACTCCCTGGCTGAAGCCCTACCTGCCCTGGAGGCTGCACGACTGGCCCTGGAGGACCTTGACAAGTCTGATGTCACTGAGATCAGGTACATGCACATCTCTATCTTATATTAGATAAATGCTGAATCCCTTTACAATACTTCAATCCCTTTACAATACTTCAATCCCTTTACAATACTTCATCATGAAATATATTAATAAAAAAAGAAAAGAGGCATTTTTGCTGAACTAATTATTAGATTATGAAGAGATGTAAGCGAGAAGTCAGATTTCATTATATAATAGAACTAAATATTGAATGATATTATCGGGTACTCCATATACAAATCTTAATTCATGAATTATATTGTATATATATTTTTAATATAAGAATGAATCACATATATAATAGATTAATAATTAAATGTTTCATGTGGCTCATAAGCCCAATTTGGGCTGGCTATTTTGCACAATAGGTGACACTTTAACAAAATAAATAAACAAAATAAATAAATAAATAAATAATATATTAAGATAAAGGACAAAATTAACAAAACCAACTTTTATTTAACCTAGAAGGTAACAGTGAACAGGTACCATTATAACCCTCTAGGGTTCTACAATATATATACCTTACAAATAGCATGTAAACATGTGACTTTACTTTACCAACTTTACTTCCTACAGATCATTTGCCAAGCCTCCCAAGCCTGTACAGATTGTCTGTGAGTGTATCGTAGTCCTGAGAGGCATCAGAGAGGTCTCCTGGAAGTCTGCCAAGAGTATGTTGTCTGAATCCAATTTCTTAAAGTCCCTGACAGAGCTTGATGTTGATGGGATCGGTACCAAGCAAGTCACTACTGTAAAAGGTAGGTTTATTTCTGAATTTGCAGGGGGGTGATCTCGATATATCTCTGATATGTATTGATTATCCCATCGAACGAAGTTCGGAGGGATATAGGGAACGCCTCCGTCCGTCCGTCCGTCCGTCCGTACGTACGTCCGTCCGTACGTACATCCGTCCGTACGTACGTCCGTCCGTACGTACGTCCGTCCGTCCGTCTGTCCGTCCGTCCGGGCGATAACTCAAATACCGTTGGCCCGATTTTGTTCATATTTTGTACACATATACCCTATGGGGGTAGAAGTTCTGCTCGAAAGCCGATTTTCAAAATGGTCGCTCAATTCAAAATGGCGGCCATTTTAGTGCCGATTTTACAGTAATTTAGGTGCAATATGTAAAACTGTAATAGCAATATGTTTTAAATGTAAAAAAATTATGAAGGACATTAATAAAGCTATAAATGTAGACATTAAAGAAGCACATGGCAGCCATCTTGAAAAATGGCGGCCTTTACTCGTTATTTTACGATTTTTGCTATAACTCGAAAAGTAGTGGAGCGATTTTGTTCATATTTGGTATGTGAATACTATAAGCATTGCACACTGCCTAAAGACACTTTTGGTAGAAGGCGGCCATTTTTCAAAATGGCCACCATTTTAACGTATATTACTATAACTCGAAAAGTAGTGAAGCGATTTTGTTCATATTTGGTATGTGAATACTATAAGCATGGCACACCGTCCTATGACACTTTTGGTAGAATGCGGCCATTTTGAAAAAAAATTTGAAAAATGGCCGCCATTTTACTATAACTCGAAAAGTAGTGAAGCGATTTTGTTCATATTTGGTATGTTTCATATTTCATATGTGAATACTATAAGCATGGCACACTGTCTAATGACACTTTGGGTAGTAGGTGGCCATTTTGAAAATTTTTTATGTTTTTTACTATAACTTGAAAAGTAGTGAAGCGATTTGGTCATATTTGATACGTGAATACTCATGAGCCTTGCACACTGTCTCATGACACTTCAGATAGTAGGCAGTCATTTTATAAAAATGGCTGTCATTTTTACATTTTTTACTATAACTCGAAAAGTAGTGGAGCAATTTTGTTCATATTTGATATGTGAATACTTTAAGCATGGCACATTGTCTAATAAAACTTTGGGGAGTAGTCAGCCATTTTGAAAAATGGCCACCATTTTTATGTGTGTTATTTTACAAGTACATGTATGCGATTTTTCAAAGATTTTATAGGTGGCTACTTAAAAGCATATTATTTCTTCTGATGACAACTTGGCTAGTGAGCAACCATTTTGAAAATGGTGGCCTTTCTGGTGTGTTGTTTTATGATGTTTGCTATATATTTCGTTTGTAAAAATGCCAGCCATTTCTGTTCGATGGGATTCGCTACGCTTTGGCGTTGCCGTTGTTCTGGTTTTCAAATAAAGTTGATTTATCTTGGTGATTGCTCTCTGATTTTATCTCGACTCATGATGTTTCTGTGGCTTCTACCTGTACATGTTCTTTGCTAATATCCAAAAACATGCATTTGAGGCACAATAGCACTGCAGCCAGGTGAAAATTTTAAAAACTCAGTTGCACTCAGTTGAAAATCCATTACACCCAGTTGAAAACCCATTTACACCCAGTTGAAAATCCATTTACACCCAGTTGAAAATCCATTTACACCCAGTTGAAAATCCATTTGAACCCAATCGAGAATTTAGGTGATGGGATAATTTGAACAGTTCTAGTCATTTCTCAAATTATTGAATCTTTTCTATAGGTTTCTTAAAGGAGATGGACATGACAGTTGCTGAGATGAAAGCTACATCACGTGCTGGGGCTGGACTCTTAAAGTTTGTTGAGGCAGTACTTGGTTATTGCAGTGTGGCAAGGGAGATCAAACCAAAGAGAGAAAAGGTATGTTAACCTCTTGAATCCCAGGCTCTAAAATTGGTTGAAACCAGAGAATTTTTAATTTTTGCCACCTTTTGACATTTTACTACATACCTTTACAACTTTAGATGCTCAACTTAGTAAAATTAGATGGCAGAGATCATTTCTACACGTTTTAAAACAATTTTTGTGTAAATTAGAAGTAGTCAAGAGATTAATACATTTTGATTCTCATTACATCTTTTTGTCTAGCAAATATAGGATGCTCTGATGCCCAATTTAATCAATTTAACCAATCATTTAGTTTAAGGCATAAATTATTTGTAACAGTTGAACCTGGCTTATTTGAATGCCAATTGGAACCAGCAAAAAGTTTTCTGATTGGCAGATTTAACATTTCAAGTTTTTAACATAGAAGACTATGGTAGATTAAAAGATTGGTACAAATGAGTTCCCATTGAGATGTGTTCAAATAGAGAGGTGTTCAAATATAGAGGTGTTCAGATATACAGGTTTTAGTGTATTACTTTTACACTTTCTTTCTTGCCTCACTTAATCAGTTATCATATTCATAATATGTTGGAACTTTAGAAGTGAAACATGCTAAAAAGAAAGGCAACTGGATTAAATCTTATTTAGCAATGAAATTACACTTTTCATTATCCCAGGTGGCACGTCTAGAGAAGAATTTCCACCAGGCTAAGAGAGACCTCTCAAAGATCAACAATGAGGTCAGCTCTCTTGAGGCGGAGCTTAAGAGCTTGAATGAAAAGTACGAGAGTGCCATGGCGGAGAAACAAGAACTTCAGACTGAGGCTGAGATTATGGAAAGGAGGCTGATCGCAGCTGACAAGCTCATATCTGGTTTAGGCTCGGAGAATGTGAGGTAAATAAGTTTTGTTTGTGACAGTTTTATATGATCTCACGAGATTCTACACATAATTGATGATGCTGAATATTGCAAAATTCTTTAAGAAATGTTTTCCAATTTAACTTACATTTTCAAAAAGTCTGTTCTAGACTTAAAGCTTGACATAAACATTATTCATTTACTTCCATATCTAATGCTTTTTAATCTACAACTCCAACCATGACAAACTCAATTAAATATTAAGACCATTTACAATACTTTTCTAAAAGTGATTAAAAGGGTATTATTGTTAATAAGCTATGTTTATCATTGAACTACAACTATTGAAAATTGAAATATCAAATGTAGCTGGCACAGTTCAGACACTAGTGATTTATAATAAAATACAAAACTCTATCATTTAATATTCAAAATTTTAGGTGGACCAAGGAATTGGAGGAACTAAAACAGATGAGGATTCGGTTGCTAGGCGACTGTCTCCTGGGAGCATCGTTCCTTAGTTACATTGGAGCATTCTCTGTGGAGTTCAGAACAGACATGGTGGAGAAGGATTGGCAGGCAGATATCCTCAATAGAGAGATTCCACTCTCTCAGCCATACAAGCTAGAGGCTCTGCTAACCAATGATGTTGAGATTAGCAAGTAAGTGTAGTACACAGGTTTCAATCGCAACAAGCAGTTTTATCCAGCTGTTTAAGAAGAATTTTGCAGGTTTTCCATGTTAAAATTATCCAATAGACAAGTTTGCTTGTATGTCTTCAATCATTTTGCAAGTGATTCTAAAGAAATTGATTGAATTGAAAATGCATATCTGTTATTAATAGAATCTCCTAAAATGGAACAAATCTTCATGAACATATCATCATTGATTTTAGATGGACATCAGAGAGTCTGCCCCCTGATGAGCTGTCCATACAGAATGGTATCTTGACCACCAGGGCCAGTAGGTTCCCACTGTGTATTGACCCTCAACAGCAAGCTTTGAATTGGATCAAACGTAAAGAGGAGCCAAACAACCTAAAGGTATGTTTGCCGTCATGAATGCAGTCAGATCACCAGAGTTTCTAGTCTTCATACACAACACACTGATATTTGACCAAGTGTAACAGAAAATGTAGTCCCTCAGGAAATATTGGTCTCATTTGTATTGCCCTATTTGTGTATGACTAATAAGTCAAATTAGGTCACTGTATAACTGTATGGAAACAGTATGAACTTTTAGGAAAATATCAGTTTCTTTATATTCTTTGTAAAAAGTACTAATTACCTTGCAATAATGGATTAAGTCAGTGCAGGTCCAACAATATTGACAATATCAGTCGGCAATAGAGATTTAACTGAAGTGAGGAAATATATTTTTCAGTATTGTTAATTTGCCTTTGAATGAAAACCCTCCAAAATCATCCTTATCGTAAAACCACCTCATGCGCTTGGACTTTGAGTAACAGTGGTTTCATGAAGCAATTTCTGTTTCCAGACTGTAACATTCAACGATAGTGATTTCCTGAAGCAGCTTGAACTTGCCATCAAGTATGGGTTTCCCATATTGTTCAAGGATGTTGATGAGTACTTAGATCCTGTCATTGATAATGTATTGGAGAAGAACATTAAAGGTAAGAAACACAAACGAAAATATGGATGAGATAGTTAATTTTAACATGCTATTCATATGTATAAACCTTTACTTATTTTAATATTGTATGCATTTAACTGTTGAAAATACTGCAATGGTATGCAGTCCTTGTGTTTTAACAAGTGTAAAGAAATAAATACAAGTTTATTAAGCCCAACTTGGAGCAAGTCTTTGGGACTGTAACGTCTTCAGCATAAAAATAGGAATAATCCAAGTTAATTATAAACTTAACTCTGTCCATCCTCTGATCACAGGGCTTCAAAATCAGAATACTTCTTTCTTTTTACCCCCTGCGATAAGCATTAAGCATTTTCCTGATTATGAACTTACAATTTAATTCGCAACATTGCGACAGCAATCATGTATACGTCATCGGCGCATAATTAGATCACGTGATTCAGTTTTATTGGGCGCTTCCAAATTGGTTATAGCAGGGGAAAAGAAGGAGGTACGGATTCTGGACACATGCTTAGGAGGATGAACTCTGTCTAGCAATACAAATAATATCTATTTCACTGTTCTAGGTCAAGCAGGCAGAGAATTCATCATGTTAGGGGATAAAGAAGTAGACTACGATCCTAACTTTAGGTTATACCTCAACACCAAGCTGTCTAACCCTAAGTACACTCCTGCCCATTTTGGCAAGTGTATGGTCATCAACTATACTGTAACGCTGAAGGTAAGATTTCTTACTTAACTTTTGTCATTTACTTTTCGTCAATTTTTTTTAAACAGCCAAATAATGAAATTAGGAGGTTTGAAGTGAAATGAATTTACTTTTTGGATTACTAAATATGATGATTTGATGATTTTTTCAAATTCCTGATTTAAATCACATGCAATTCAGCCATAGATTGAGCTTGAAGCCATGCCTTGTCTTACTATTGATTCCAATTCATATTGACAACCATAAATTTACAAGAATCCAATAATTATGTCACCACTCATATAGTCTCCAACTCTTTCGTGGACGGTGTTCGGCATCTTTAACAAATTATGATATCTGTTACAAATGGCAGGTGGTGACATCTTGCATGTTAATGCCTTGTTTTAAATGTTATTTTCATTCATTTTGCCAATTGTAAGAGATTCTAATGACACCCACATCAAAAAACAATCTGATAATATTTGTTCATGTTTGTAGGGCTTAGAGGACCAACTGCTGAGTGTGATAGTGAAGTATGAACGTAAAGAGCTAGAAGAACAGAGAGAGAGACTAATTCAGGAAACAAGTGATAACAAGAAACTGTTGAAAGATCTAGAGGATTCATTGTTGAGGGAGTTAGCCACCTCCACAGGCAACATGTTGGACAATGTAGAACTTGTGTCAACTCTGGAGGAGACTAAATCAAAGGCTGGAGAGGTCAGACGATTTTTGTTTATTTGTTTGTCTGTTTGTTTGTTTGTTTTGATAGACCAATTTAGAAACACAATAAATGATTTTATTTAATACACATTTATTTTTAGTATTTCTTATATTTTTATTTCATTTCATTGAAGCACTTTTAACAGTGCATGGATTTATGGGCTTCCACCCAACAGTGAATTCGATGTAAAAATAATTAATCAAATGGCTCTACTTGGCCTAATAATTATAAGGTACACTAGGAAAAAATTACTGTTTTATTCCAATTTCATCAGCTTGTAGAAGGACTTTCATAATGACTTCATTCTATTTTAGGTTGCGGAAAAGCTTAAACTTGGAGCTAAGACCGCTATAGACATTGACAAATTGCGTGATGGCTACAGACCTGCTGCAAAACGAGGTGCCATTTTGTTTTTCGTTTTATCCGAGATGGCCACTACGAACACTATGTACCAGTATTCCCTGGCTGCCTACTTGGATGTTTTCCAGTTCTCTTTGAAGAAGAGTATGCCTGATACTATAGTACAGAAACGCCTGCGCAATATTATGGACACCCTCACTCATAATGTGTATAACTATGGGTGTACAGGTAATTTGCAAATTTTGATAGCAATAAGTGCCAGATGTTAACATAAATATTTATTTATAGATACAGTTAGTTGGTCAGTGCAAAGTTAGAATTTGAAATGTTTTCTCTCGATTTTTTTGAATAAGCATGAATAAAAAAGTGTCAATTTAGTTGAAACAATTAATGTAGTTATCTTCACTCCCATTGACCCACGTGTGTGTTATTTAATTACACATGCTCCTTGACATAACAAACCTATCAACCACTAAGTCTATTATATTCTCATTTATTAGGTATATTTGAGAAGCACAAGTTGCTGTTCTCTCTGATTATCACCATCAAACTGGAGCAAGATCTGGGCAATGTAGTTCAAGATGAGGTGGACTTCTTCATCAAGGTAAGACCCCATAACAACACTACAACTTCTAAAATTGTTTAAATTCTCATCATAAATGTCTCATGTCATAATGTCAAAAGTTAATTCAATGCAGAATTGCTGAAAAATAAGTTGAATAAAAAGATTGCTGAAAACACTTCCAGGGTTCACAATGAAGTTTAAGAACATTATTGCCAAATTAACCATTTTGGCATTCAGTCACTTGCCCAATAGACAACCATTTCAAGTCCATAGTTAAAAGAGAAAAGTGATTGCCATTGTCTGCTGAGAATTTTGAACCCTCGACTAAGTTAAAACAATCGCTTGTTCCAATCCCAGAAATCTCATTTTTGAATGTATGAAAGAATCAAAAATGGACAATTATCAGAGGTTCTCATCACTAATTGTAGGGCAACATAGCGCTAGAAAAAGCTTCTCGTAAGAAACCGTTTGCTTGGTTCCCTGAGGCAGGCTGGGAGGATGCTGTACGACTACAGGAAGTTTCACCAAAAGCATTTGGTTCCCTTCTGGATGACATAGAGAAGAACCAGGCTGTCTGGAAGGAGGTACTGTGAACATTTTATACAATAAAAAATGATAAGAATGAGAAATAAATGAATGATAATGAAAAAATAAAATACCTTTCCTGTTAACAACATATTAGCTTAGAATAAGCAATTAGAACTTTTCTGTAAAATACAGTTGCCCATAACATCTCTTTACTGTTACAATAAGAATTTTCTTTCTACAACTTCCAGATTGCAATAAATGTATGCCTCTATTTAAATCATATATCTGAAATTACTGAAGACTACAGATTGGTTATTATATTATACTGTATGATATTTCCTCTTCAGTGGTACGACCATGATGCTCCTGAGTCTGCACCATTCCCTCTAGGGTACCATGAATCTCTTAGTGACTTCCAACGTCTGATGCTGCTACGTTGCTTCCGTGTTGATCGTATCTACCGTGCTGTCACTGTCTACATTACCAACACGATGGGCGAGAAATATGTCATGCCACCTATTATCAGCTTTGATTCGATATTTGAGCAAAGTACGCCTATGTCACCGATTGTATTTATTCTAAGCCCAGGATCAGATCCGGCAAGTGATCTCATGAAACTTGCAGAGAGACTCGAATTTGGATCCAACAAGATCAAGTTCTTATCCATGGGACAGGGCCAAGAGAAGGTAAGGATATTTTTCTTATTTTGTTATGCAATCTCAAAATTAAGACTTATTGTGAACTCTTTTTCTGTGTTGTACTTGTTTATATATTAATTGTACATGTATGGTAAATGAAATTCATGTGCTTTTGGTTTATCACTTTCACATGCTCAATATCCATAACCTCAGGTATACTCTACTTCAATAAATAACACATCATATTTTATCATTTTCAGCTTGCCTTACAACTCCTGGAGACCGCAATAGCCCGAGGCCAGTGGTTGATGCTTCAGAACTGCCATCTATTAGTAAAATGGCTGCAAGACCTAGAAAAGGAGATTGAAAAGTTACAAAACATTAAACCTCACCCTGACTTTAGGCTATGGCTAACTACGGAGCCAACTCCTAGTTTTCCAATTGGTATTCTCCAACGTTCTCTGAAGGTTGTAACTGAGCCCCCTAATGGGCTGAAATTGAACTTACGCAGCACATATTTCAAAATCTCTGCAACAGCTCTGCAGGAATGCCCCAACCCTGCATTCTCATCTCTCGTATTTGTGCTCGCATTCTTCCATGCTGTCGTCCAAGAACGACGTAAATATGGAAAAATTGGATGGAATGTCCCATATGATTTCAACGAATCAGACTTTAGAGTATGTATGCAGATTCTCAACACATACCTGACAAAATCGCAGGAACAAGGCGAATCGAAGATCCCCTGGGCCAGTTTGAAATATCTAGTCGGTGAGGTAATGTACGGAGGCAGAGCCATTGATGATTTCGACAGGAGAATCCTACGTACTTACATGGATGAATACATGGGAGATTTCATATTTGACACGTTCCAACCATTCCACTTTTACCAAAATGATGATGTGGATTATCGCATACCAGAAGAAGGTCCTAGAGATAATTACACGGGTAAGGACTCAATAGTTGAATCTTGCTAGACTGCATGATTTTGAAAGAATATTTTCTATCGATATTCTTTCAAAATTCTGCAGTTTTTCACCATTCTGAGCATTTTCAAGTGATTTTGGGCCAAAGTTGTTAAATATCAATTGATTATTTTAGTCTCTTAATATATTCATCAGAATGAAAAATCATGTAATTCAAACATCAATTATTTTGATTAATGATTAAAAAACAAGTTATTTCATAATATTGTCCATTGTTGAATTTGAAATGAATGCTTTGGTATGGAGCTCATTACTTATCATACAGCCGATCTTTCCAAATATGGGTTTAATAAATAATGCAATTAAATAAACTGAATTCTGGTATCTGACTGCATATATTTTTAGACTTCATTGAGCAACTGCCTCTGGCTAACACCCCTGAGGTGTTTGGACTTCATCCGAATGCTGAGATTGGTTACTACACCCAAGCAGCCAAGGATATGTGGGACCACTTAATAGAACTACAGCCTCAAACAGGTACAGGGTGTTCCATATATTTGAAAATGAATGAAGTTAGTTTGAATTAATTAACTCAAACAGGTACAGGGTGTTCCATATATTTGAAAATGAATTTCAGATTAAGATATTTATTACTATTTTGAAAACATACATGACATCCAATACAACATGACGCTCTCAAGAGCATATATGTTGGTTTTAATTGGACAGAAATGGGTCAGTGACGCCAACAGGTAAGACAAATAAAAATGGAGTGGAGAAATACCTGAGAATGACACTGGCCCAAAAATGAATAAAGTTAGTTTGGATTAATTAACTAAAAAATTGTGGTATTATGCATGGTTCAAGTAATCTAATGCACAGTTTCCACTCTTAATTGTAAAGAAAGAAAATATTTGATATTTTATTCTGAGGATAATTGCATTTGATAATGAAAACTATTATTACATTTTATTTAAATTGAAGATAGGGATGGAGGTACGAATTGATATATTTATAAAGGTTATTTGCTTGGAGGGATTAAATATGGGTTTTATACAGAGGACCAATGTGATAGATAAAGATTTCATATTGACAAATGTATGAAGCCCATAATTAATTCCTGTCCAGGAAATAACCATTTTATACCATGATATTGCATGATTCAAATTCTGTCACAACTAACCTAAGGATATTACTGTTATTCACTTGGAAGAAAGAGTATCATGGTATCAATAAATATTCACTGAGGGTATATTGTAGGGGAGGATGGTTTGACTCCCATCATGTTGTGTTCAGTTCTCACATTTGATCACAAAAGAACATCTTTCCCACACAGAATTCACAGCATGTAATGCAAAGTTAGCAATTAAATTTTTAGGGGATTTTATTCGGAAGATTTGCACAATTTGGGAGTATATGTCTTGGTATTAGGTTGCTTTAAAATAAGAAACCAATGGATTTTGAGGATTGTTTTGTCAAACTCTGTAAATGTGCAAATCTTTCCAAACTGTATACTGTTATGTTGAACATTAACACATTCACTCATTGTATACATTTACATTCATTACTAACTGATTGTAGCTATAGTTATGACCTATGATGGTAAGACATGTTGCATGCTATTGTTATGTACCATACCCCTCCCCTCCAAACCACCTGATGTCACCCCCTCGCCTCCCCCTCCCCCTCCGGTCCCCCGAAATGTATATGCATGCTATAACCTTAGCAAATATGTCCTTATGTGTATTATTGTGCAAGGAATATGATCAGGAAAATGCAAAACACAGATGTTGATTTACAAAAAGCAATATACCTAGCAGCATGTTATATTAAATGAATTTTAAGATATAAAAATACCCCCTACCCTCATGTAATGCTATATTAGAAATGAACTGTTGCAGAGTTGTAAATTAACTCAGTTAAGCATGGTGACAGCTCTGATACATCTACCTCTCCCGTAAACATGTAATGTCCAGTGTACTTGGTATAGTATTGCTATAAAGCTTTATACGGTGACAGGCTGCTTGCATGAATCACATGGTCTCAGGTGAAAAAGCTAGCATATTTCCCCATAGGCCCATAAGATGTTATTCTCTCTTGCTGAAGTTGATAATAGTGCAATAACTAAGCCCTGCATGTTGAGGTTGTCTGTTACCTTATAATTTGATGTATATGTGTCCTTCAAAGGAATCTTATGTGCATATCTAGATATAAAGGGTGTCCATAAAGTCTCTTTACACTTTACACAGACTTTTGCATTGTGATTATAAAGAGACTTAAGATAGAGACACCCTGTACAGTGCTGTTATTGTAGAACATGTAATTACATGGACATATTCTTCAGAGTGTGAATTAAAACTTTTTGTAAGGTCTATAATTATGATCATTCTAAATTTTTGAAATGAACTAAAATTCAATAAATAAGTAAAATATAAATTCTGAAATTAAACTTTATTTCTGTTCTCCAGGTGATACCGGTGGAGGAATCAGTCGTGAAGACTTCATTGATAAGATAGCAAAGGACGTCCTCAGTAAGATTCCCAAGGTGTTCGATATTGATCAGATCAGGAAGAAACTAGGCCTTGAGATCTCACCAACCACTGTTGTGTTGCTACAAGAACTGGAGCGATTTAATAAGCTGATAGTCAGAATGTCAAAATCTCTAACAACTCTACAGAAGGTATGTATATTTTGAATTTTCTGTTTGTCTTATCGAATGCCACTTGGCCTGACCAGAATTTGGATTAGCGCATGTTCTGGTGTAGTTTCTTATAATGGGAGTTAATTGGAGTGTAGAAATGTGGATATACTGTAGTTGGGTTTCAGAGTCTTGGGTGTTGTGGTAATGGGATCGTCTCCTTGGATATAGAGGTTTATTGTATACTCCCAAATTTTGAAATAGTTTCTGGTTTTAAAAAATTTTGAAAATTTTGAAATCATACAAGTAAAATATACTCGGGAATATACACAAATCTTTGTGTCACCCACTTCATTGTTAACTATTGTATGTATTTTATGAAATAAATGAATAAAAATAAAAAAAATAATAAAAAAATCTGCAACATAATGATTTATTCCTGCAGGCTCTGGCAGGAGAGGTAGGGATGAGTAACGAGCTGGATGACGTTGCACGCTGTCTCTTCAATGGCCAGATTCCTACAATATGGCGTAAACTGGCTCCTGCTACCCTCAAGTCACTAGGCAACTGGATCATACAATTCATGAGGAGGTTCCAGCAATATGACACATGGGTATGTATTATCATGAAGCTCTAAACATGTGTTCATATATCTGTATTTTAGTTAAAAGACATAATTTATGAAAATAAGTTTAGTCAAAAGAAAATGACTCAATTTTAACTATAGTGTAACTCGCTTTTTCTACCTTTCATTTATTTCTTTTTAAAGAATTAAAATGTGTACAAAAATGTTTGCATCCTGAAAATTGTACCTAATACAGTAAAACCTGTCTAATCCGAACACCCACGGGACCAGCCAAAAGCGTTCAAATTGGCAGGTGTTCAAATTTCGAGAATTTTGTTGGTCGGGGGGGGGGGGGGATTTTCATTGTTCAGTCCACTATATTGAACACTTAATACTAAGTCAGAAAACAATAAATGTTGTTGATGAGTTAATTCTACAATAGTCCAATTTCATCATTTTAGTAAAAATAACTCTTATGTTTTGGCAAAAACTTTGTAATACACTGTAAAAGTATATGATAGTCTCGTATGAAATCTTATGCTTATCAAATGACTTATCCCATATTATGGTAATATAGCACTGCTTTACTTTTGCTTGAAAAAGTCCTTCATTGTTGTTTGTTTCTTGGCACTTTAAACATTAGCAATATTTGAGTAGATATCCTCTTCAAGTAAAAAGAATTTTTCATGAGTGTTCATTCGAGATGATGTATAATCCTTCAAAATATCAAGGGCATTCAGGATGTCAGATGAATGCCTTTTAGGAGACATTTTTGTGATAGGATATTACAAAGTTGAATTTTTTTCTCTTGTGATATAATCTTGTCTGCAAATGTCGTCTGTGTTGTCCTTGTGATTATAAAACATTTGCTGATTAAATCTTAGCTATCATTACAGACCCATAGGATATAAAACAGTTAAGACCTGTTCATAATCCAAATCAAAAACATCCAGTTAATTTACAATAAGGATAAACCAATTATCTCCCAGATTCTCACCTTTCTCTTAATCCAAATCAAAAACATTCAGTTCTTTTCTAAATCTTGTCTGCAAATGTCGTCTATGTTGTCCTTGTGATTATAAAACATTTGCTGATTGAATCTTAGCTATCATAACAGACCCATGGGATATAAAACAGTCAAGACCTGTTCATAATCCAAATTAAAAACATCCAGTTAATTTACAATAAGGATAAACCAATTAACTCCTGTATTCACACCTTTCCAAAACATCCTGTTGTTTTCCACAAATTAGGGATGTCACTGAGACTAAATAAGTTAGTTAGGACAATATTGGTTCTTTGATTACATTGTATATGTAAAGATAAATAACAACTATAACATTGACTCAATATTTGGCTATAATTGAAATGTCCAGTAATTTGATTTCTGATAAAAATGTTCAGATTAGACAGGTCACTTTTTCAAATCTGGTTGTTCACTGTTCAAATTAGGAGGTGTTCAGATTTCAAGGTTTTTTTAACATGGGAGTCAATGGGAGGAAAAAATGGGACCGAAAAAAAGTGTTCAAATTGGAAGGTGTTCGGATTAGCCAGGTGTTCAGATATACAGGTTTTACTGTAGACAAATATTGTAGAACATTTTATTTAGTTGAAAAGTAACTAAGTGTCATTGAAAAGTAACCGAGTGTCATTGAAAAGTAACCATGTGTCATGCACATGGTCTTCATAATTACGTGTTTTCTTGAATTTAGGTGAATGAATCTGAGCCTAATGTGATGTGGCTGTCGGGACTTCATATCCCAGAGTCCTACTTGACAGCCCTTGTGCAGGCAACATGTCGTAAGAATGGATGGCCCTTAGATAAGTCAACTTTGTACACCAGCGTCACGACGTACCAGGAGCCTGATGATGTCACAGAGAGAGCTCATGCAGGTATGAAGGGTGTTGACATTATGGAAGATTTTCATTTTTGAATCTTCATTTTGAACAACCAAATAATTGGCTAACACTAGGCATTCAACCATCTAGTTCTATTTACCATGTGATAGATAAATTGGATTCGAAAATGTTCTGAAAAAAAACAAAATTTTGTAACATTGACATGGATGTATAGGATGTGAAATTTCTGTTTAATTACTGATATTCTCTATATAGAATTATTATATCATTAGAGCGAGCCATTTTAGAAAAGGAATGTTTGATTATTAGAGCAAGCCAAGTTCATTGAATTTCTACATGTGAATATTCTACTTGTAGGTTGCTTTGTACATGTACTTGAGGGTTTAAGAATAGAAATATTTGATCATTAAAGCAAGCCAAGTTCATTGAATTTCTACATGTTAATAATCTACTTGTAGGTTGCTTTGTACATGTGTTTAAGAATAGATATATTTGATGATTAGAGCAAGCCAAGTTCATTGGATTTCTACATGTTAATAATCTACTTGTAGGTTGCTTTGTACATGGGTTTAAGAATAGATATATTTGATCATTAGAGCAAGCCAAGTTCATTGAATTTCTACATGTGAATAATCTACTTGTAGGTTGCTTTGTACATGGCCTCTACTTGGAGGGTGCTGGCTGGGACAGGAAGAAGAGTTGCCTTATAAGACAGAAGCCTAAACAACTAATTGAAGAGCTACCTGTATTAAAGGTTATCCCCATAGAAGCACATAGACTTAAACTACAGGTATGAATTGGCAATTCAGCCGTGCCCTGAGCTACATCAGTCTGTGAAATTCTATTTTAAAGAACTTAAAATGAGATGCTGTGGAGTATTTCCAGTAAATAAGAAATACAAAAACTAGCAAAGGTGCAAAATTATTGAAATAATGTACTTTTTCCTCGACATTTTTAATGTAGAAAACAAACAATGCTGTGATATGATATTCAAAGTATCAGTATTTCTTACAAATATTGAATAGACTCCTATAAACCATAGAAGGTATTCCATTAATCTACAACTCTATTGATTGACAGTTATTTGAATTCTTCTTTGTTTTCAGAACACTTTCCGTACACCAGTATATGTGACATCACAACGTCGTAATGCTATGGGTGTCGGACTGGTATTTGAAGCGGATCTTTCCACACATGAACATACAAGTCACTGGGTCCTACAGGGTGTAGATCTCATATTGAACACAGACTAAACAAAACAAACATGAAGAATACACACTGCGACAGCTCATGTGCATTTATTTAGTGAATCCCTGTGAATATTAAGAAGACTTATTAAGTGAATCTCATCAGGTGTTCATTGAGCACTGACCGGAACTTTCATGAAACATCCAATTTGAAAACTAATAAAAAAGGACATTGTAGAATAAAATATAATTGCTCAATTTTCATGAAATCACTTTTAACATCAATTAAATGGACCGACTCCTGTTTTCTATTAAACAAACAGAAAATGAACGAAAAATATTGTAAATATAATAGCTATATTGTCATATGTAGATTTCCTTGATACAAATAAGATAAGCATCAAAATGAATGTTGAGATGCAAAACATTCGTGAATATTGAATGATCTCATTAGACTATTGAAAAGCATGACAGATTATAGTATTGTAGTAATGTGACTCCAAGATTATTATCTATATAAAATCTATATACAGTACCACTATACATCACATCTAGTTTTGTACAGGCTGTGCCACAAGTTCATTTCAAGAATTTGGACACCCTGTACATCAAAATTGATTTTATATATTCATGAATATTAGTTCATACAGATATATTTCCAGTACTGTGCCAAGTAGAAATTATTAATTTTTGATATTCACTGTATGTACGAGGGTTCTTAAAAAGTAAGGTGCACTTTGTTGCCATAGTAACCAAAGTAACTTATTTAATTTTTATTACTTATACAGTAGATGCATACATTTGCACCCTAATTTTTGACATCCCTCATTCCATTATGTTGATTTCCAAAATGTTCCTTAAAGTTTCCTCAGACTTTTTCTGTAACTAAACTAAGAAACATAATGAATTTTTGATTTGTACAGTAGACAAAAAGGGCATAATTAGCATGACATCGTCCAAAAATACATTTAGGATTAATCAACCTATAATCAACAGGGTGGTCAAAGTTGAAATAAAATTACAAACTGTAACAACTTTTAAAGCTGCTCCGTCCATTGGATTACATGTACTTGGTTTTACATTTTTAGCTCATTTTATATAACATTTTATGAGTCATACATTGCGATACCAAATGCATTAAAAACATATTTAACAAGTCTAATCCTCGAATTTCCGTCCATAAGAATATGATGATTAAACTTTCACAAATGTGATGAACAGTGTTTACAATTATCCGTCCAACTGAACTACTGAACTTTATATCAATGATACATTTATTTATTTATATATTATTTTTAAAAATTTATGTATACAATTATGTAAGAGAGATATGTTGATATGCATGGTTTATGCATAAAATAATTTATATCAAGACAAAAAAGTATAAAATAAAGCCATAAAATAAATAGTTTGTATTGTTATTCTGAAAGGATATGAAGTAAAATAATTTATATCAAGACAAAAACACCTATAGTCTAAAGTGAAACCTGTAATGTGGAACACCTCTTAAAGTGGAACACCTATACCATACAGTGGAACCTGTAAGGGGAGGCCTCAAAAGTTTGATGTCGGATAGAAAACTAAATAAATCTAGTTAGGGGGGAGGGGGTTCAAACCCATTTCAGTTTGCTATCCGACAAATTTCAACATTCCAAATTTTGGGCAATTTCTACTCAGAATGCCTTAGAAATAAGGATTTCACCTGATGCTTTCTTCATCAAGAGCATTCCAATGGATTCTATTCTATCAATAGTTGTTAAAAGCCGCAAATTATGATAGGAATTAACTAGATTGTGTTTAGCAATAATTTTTCAAATTCTCAAAATGGAAGTCAGCGATCAACTTTCATGGTATTTAGTTTTTTGGGGGAGGGGGGGTCAGAGTCAAAACCGAGATTTATTTAGTTTTCGATCCGACATCGAACTTTTGATGCCTCCCCTAATGTGGAATACCTCTAAAAGTGGAAGACCTATAGTGTAAAGTAAAACCTGTTATGTGGCACACCTTTTAAAGTGGAACACCTATAGTGTAAAGTGAAAACTGTAATGTGGAACACCTATAGTGTACATTGAAACCCGTAAAGTGGAACACCTCTTAAAGTTGAACACCTATAGTGTAAAGTGAAACCTGTAATATGGAACACCTTTTAAAGTGGAACACTTATAGCACTGTCAGATTAGGTGTTAGATTTCTGGGCCCCCCCCCCCTTGGGTGGGCCCAGAAAAAAAAAATTGGGCCCAAAAATATTTTTGGGCCAAACAAGGCCTTCAGGCCCCAAAAAGTGGGCCTTTTGGTCATTATAAGGCCTTATTTTTTAATTTCAGGCCAAATTTTGAAGAAAATGAGCCTCAAAATTTGGATTTTAGGGGCCCAAAATTTTTTTCTCTGCCCTGAAATTTGCCCCCCCCCCCCCCCTTGTTGGTTCCTAGATCCGGCCATGTATAGTATACAGTGAAACCTGTAATGTGGAACACCTCTGTTAGTGTAACACTTTTCAGAGTCCCAACTATCAACTGAGCATTATTTCCAATCTTATATAATTCTCAAATATTTAAAATCATTGATTGATTGTGACTCTTACTGCATCTAAATGACAATGATTCTTGTGTCAGGATAATTCTAATATGCCCCTAAATTGTGTTTAGATAATTGTTGCTCTGATTGTGACTTCTAGTTGTGTCTAGATGATAGATACTACGTGTCTCATAATTGTGACTTATGTTGACCTTTGCTCTGTTTGATTTTGATGATTGTTGCTCTGATTGTGACCTCTAGTTGTGTCTAGATGATAGATACTACGTGTCTCATGATTGTGATTTAGGCTGACCTTTGCTCTGTTTGATTTTGATGATTGTTGCTCTGATTGTGACTTCTAGTTGTGTCTAGATGATAGATACTACTTGTCTCATGATTGTGATTTAGGTTGGCCTTTGCTCTGGTTGATTTTGATGATTGTTGCTCTGAATGTGTCTTAATGATTGCGTCTCTAGTTGTGTCTAGATGATTGAGGCTTAACTTGTCTCTTTATGATAGTGACTTTGGTTGTCTTTAGATGATTGTGGTTGTGTTAAGATGTAACCATGATTTTGTTAAGATGTGACTTAATTGTGTTTAGATGTTTGTGACTTTGATTGCCTTTAGATGATTATGACTATGGTTTTGTTGAGATGATCATGAGTGACTATGGTGTGTTAAGATGATTTTGACTATGGTTGTGCTTAGATGATTGTAACTATGATTGTGTTAAGATGATTGTGACTTAATTGTGTTTAGATGTTTGTGACTTTGATTGTCTTTAGATGATTATGACTATGGTTTTGTTTAGTAGAGGTGTCACGGATACCCGATTTTGTTCTGATCCGCAGAATTATGCCCTCGGAACACAGAACACAAATTGAGAATTTCGGTTCGGTTCCAGAACAAGAACATTTTACCCTTTCACAACTTCTGGCCCTTAAATCGCCACAAAACAGCATTTTTCTTTCAATATTTTGCACCAAAAGAGGTTCATTCTTTTCACTCCTTCTCATTGAAGAGTTTTGAAGAGCTTTTCGCTACCAAATAAACCTAGATGATCAGATTATTTTAATCTAATACACGCAGTCACTCTGTTCTGAACCATTCCTAAATTGTTCCGTTCCGAAGCAAAATGTTCGGAACCGAACCGTTCTGATTTTTTTTGTTCCGTGACATCTCTATTGTTTAGATGATCATGAGTGACTATGGTGTGTTTAGATGATTTTGACTATGGTTGTGCTTAGATGATTGTAATTATGATTGTGTTAAGATGTGACTTAATTGTGTTCAGATGATTGTGACTTTGATTGTCTTTAGATGATTATGACTATGGTTGTGTTTAGATGATTATGAGTGATTATGGTGTGTTTAGATGATTTTGACTATGGCTGTGTTTAGATGATTGTTACTACGGTTGTCTTTAGATGATTGTTACTATGGTTGTCTTTAGATGATTTTGACTATGATTGCGTTTAGATAAATGTGATTATATTTGTATTAAGATGATTGATGATTGTGTTTAAGATGATTGTGTCTCTTGCTATAATTATCTAAAAAATATCTTTGATAATCCATGTACCTATTGTTGGATTTGGTTCAAATTTTATATGTTTATTCATAAAGACAGACTATTTTTCAAATAAGGTATTTTCAAGATAGCTGACAAATTCAAAATAGCCACCAATTTTTGGGAAATAATGCAAAATTTCAATTCTGTAACTAACATTATGTTTATGTGTGTAGATACTTGTGACTCAGATTATGTCTAGACGATTGTGACTTTTTGTATTTAGATGATTGCAACTTGAGATGATTGTGCCGCTGGTCACGTTGTGTCTTGATGATTGTGACTCTTGAGACCATCGTGATTCTTGTTGTATAGTGTATTCAGGTAAATGTGCCTCTTGAGATGATGACTATGAAATGGGCCTTTAGTGTCTCTAAAAAGTTGTGACTGTGATTGAAAATAGATGATTGTGAAACAGATTTTGTCAAAAAGATGATCGTTCGTGTAGTGGCTGCATAGATGTATTAACTCGTTCGGAAATCTAATGAAAATTGATTTCCGGTTGAAGCAGAAGTTTAAATACGACGAGAATCTGTAAGTTTTTACAATTATATCCCGTTTGTAACACTTGCTTATAATAAAGGTATCGCGTCGGATGAATATTCAATTCTGGATTGTTTTGTGTGTGGGCCTACATATATGTAGCCTCTATTACATGTATTCTTATGCTTATTCTAGCCTACATGTCATTTTGTTTGGTTGACACATGGGCTTTCTAGCCTAGAAGGGTAGGCAACTTCCCATATTTCATACATAAACATTGCCATGGGTTTTTAAAATTGGAGAATGTACACATTCCAAGAAAATCTTATTTTGTACTTTTTATTGATGATTAAAAGAAATAACTCAAAAATAAAAACATGATCTTCTACATACATCAAGGGCGTTACAATACCCGGGAATTTATCGGTTCGTGCAGTACTTGTTTGTGATAGCGCCCTCTGTAGGTCACTGTGCTCATAGCCTACAGTAATACGGGGTAGGATATCGGGAATTCGGTCAGTTTCTATCCGTCGATTTCGCTATGAATTGAAGCAAGTGTGACCACTTTATCCACTTAAACAATTTGATAATTTATTAAATCTTTAAACAAAATCGATAAACACGTTATACACTTCCTATCTCCTTAGAAATTAGCATGTATTTATGGATTGTGTTTTCGAACAAGGCACGACCCAGACCAATAGGGAAATCCTTATGCTAATTAGTATGACGTCATATTTTCCTGGGGAATCCTAGATTTCAAAGCCTCAGTCTGTTATTGTGTCAAATGTAAACGCTCTTTTGCAGACAGAAAATTGACAGATTAGCTTTTAACTTTCAGCTTTGATGTTTAAATATTCTGTATTTCTACCGGACTTCTTGCTGAATATCATATAATGTTATAACTTGATTTGGACCATTGCCTGATTGATCATTCTGAAATTTTGATTGTGATTCATGATTGATTGGCAAGAAAAATAATTCCTATTGTTTTCCAGCGAAGTCAAAATGTTACAGCATGAGTTATAATGTCGAGTTTGCATCATGTTAAATTCTGCTAGTGATTAGAAGTCCATACACAAGCATACACATACTGAGAGACAAACACACCCAGGCTCCAGGCCGTGGATGGAAATATAAAACTATTTAAGGCACAAACTGGTATGAATAGACCGATATGTAGTGTCTGTCATGTATTGAAGGTAAACCAATCTGCATTATTAATGTTTCTTCTATCAATACATGGATTGTGCAATAGAAAAGCAATGGCACAATCAAAAATGTGCATATCAATCGTGAATATCTCTCGGTTCAAAGCTTATTTCCAACAGAATCGTGTCAAAATATGTGTCTGAGTAACAGTTATACATTATAAGATCGCAAACTCTTACCAATTATCAGCCGAATGGCTCATTTTCAACGAAATGTCCTTAAGACAACAGCCCTGGGTCGCGCCTGAGACCAAAAACTACTTCAAATAGCCCTCCCCTAATTATATTGGATAATCACATTTATGCGTGCGCGCGCAGCTCATCCACTGAACGAAACGCCACTTCCCGCTGAAATCACCGGGTATTGATCTTTCCCTTGCATACATCTTGATAATTTAATAAAAATTAGAATTCATCATAATTATGACAATACAGAAAGTGAACATTCTCCCACAAATTATGTTTTTATTGGAATGTGTTCTTGAATAATTACCCACAATGCAATACTCAAAGAGAACATCTTGATAACTCTTATTCTTATTGGTCTCTTTTGTTTACTTCTATATGATATTGAATATATTTTATGTTTAAATCATATTAAAAATTGATTTTTATTCAAAATAATACTAAAACATATACATTTCTCTAATACTTTTTGAAATATTGCCATAAAAGGGAAGCATGTCATTGCTCATTTTGAAGGTCTCATGTTGATTACATAGAGTTGCATACCCTTCTAGTTGAAAACCCATGGTTGACAGCAAAGCAAAGTCAGCACTATCAATGGTATACTCTACCTTTCGTAATATATAATAGAGAAAAGTCCAAAGACTTTTTGCCATTTTACCATCCATTTTACAGACACCCTAGTTTTCAGACTAAGAACTCGACCTTTCCACACAAGTGTTTCTCTATAACATTATTTTTAGTGATGAACGTCACGGAGGTCCAAAAGATACGAAATGTTTACTATATTTGCACATAGCCATCTATTAGAGAGAGATAGCTTTGTGTAAACTAAGTAACGAAATGTTAAGGTCTCATGGAAGTTAACAGGAAATGACAAAACAAAAAATGACAAAGCCATGCTGGATTTTGAAAATTTTTTGAACCAAGATAACAGAGCTTTGTTTGGACCTCCAGTCAGTTTAACTAGTTCCAAATATCATTTACATTACCAGGAACACAATTGAAATGGTCAGAATGACCATAAACATGATAAAATAACCTTTTTAGCCCTCTGAAAATGTGACTGAAAAATAGCTAAAAGTTGGTGCTCAGGAAAGGTCAATGAACAGAATCTTTTGATTTTTTCAGAATATGTGTCCAATATATTGCTCTAAATGACACAATCTTTGAAATTTTAAAAAATCGTCTGAAACAATAATGGCTGTAGTAAAAAGGAAAATAGATCGATTTTCAATTCAGTTTTTTTTGAATTGTATCATTTAGAGCAATATATTGGGCACATTTTCTGAAAAAGTCAAAATATTCTGTTCAGTGACCTTTCCTGAGCACCTACTCTTAGCTATTTTTTAGTCACATTTTCAGAGGGCTGAAAAGGTTATTCTATCATGTTTATGGTCATTCTGACCATTTCAACTGTGTTCCTGGTCATGTAAATGATATGTGGAACTAGTTAAACTGACTGAAGGTCCAAACAGAACTCCGTTATCTTGGTTCAAAAAATTTTCAAAATCCAGCATGGCTTTGTCATTTTTTGTTTTGTCACTTCCTGTTAACTTCCATGAGACCTTAATAAAAATGAAAGTCCATACCTCAAATTACTCAGATGCGATAGTTACCAGCTTCGCCACCAGGTGGCTGATTCGGGGGAAATCATGATTGATAGGGTATTACAAAATAAACTTGAATCTCGAATATTCATCAGTTTTAGTGGTTCACTTTTCATATCGACCATATGTACATGTATGTGATAGTTATACAAATTAAAATATGTCCAGTAAAAGAAAATAGTATCTGCCCAACACAAGAAAAGATATTTCACTTTTTGTGGTTTTACAACATGGGGTCAATGGGGAATCTCTCCGACCTAGAAGTCACATTTTCAAAGAAAATTAAATTTTCAAAGTTGAGAAACTCTTTTCAAAACCATATTTCTAGATGTAATTTTACATGTAGATTCCAAATATGACACCATATTGACTGAAATGTGAATTTTTAATGATGTAAATCAAGATTAATTCTACTCGCATCTAGGATATTACATGGAGATAGTAGAAAACAGTTAAGGTGCCATGGAAGTTAACAGGAAATGACAAAACAAAAAGTGACAAAACCATGCTGGATTTTGAACATTTTTTGAACCAAGATAACAGAGTTCTGTTTGGACCTCCAGTCAGTTTAACTAGTTCTTCTTATCATTTACATGACCAGGATCACAATGGCCATTGTCAGAATGACCCAACATGATAAAATAACCTTCTCAGCCCTCTGAAAATGTGACTGAAAAATAGCTAAGAGTAGGTGCTCAGGAAAGGTCACTGAACAAAATCTTTTGAATTTCAAAGATTTCAAAGATTGTATCATTTAGAGCAATATAATATTGGACACTTTTTCTGAAAAAATCAAAAAGATTCTGTTCATTGACCTTTCCTGAGCACCTACTTTTTAGGTATTTTTCAGTCAAATTTTCAGAGGGCTGAAAAGGTTATTTCATCATGTTTATGGTCATTCTGACCATTTCCATTGTGTTCCCGGTCATGTAAATGATATGTGGAACTAGTTAAACTGACTGGAGGTCCAAACAGAACTCTGTTATCTTGATTCAAAAAATTTCAAAATCCAGCATGGTTTTGTCACTTTTTGTTTTGTCATTTCCTGTTAACTTCCATGGCACCTTAAAATGTGCTCATTCTTCACAAAATATTTCTCAACTGCGTCCTCTCACTAAATCTCATTTGCAATCGGTCAGTGTAAAATCGTATCCTCAGCTTATCGTATTCACCTTATGGCGCATGCGCATTAAACTCAGTGATCTGATTGTTTGAAGTTATCATGACGCATGCACGATCAATAACTTTATAGGAACATTTAATTTGAGATAGATGTCACTTACGTTCATTATTTCACAGCAGGTCCTACCCATAATGCACCATATATTGAGGAACAATTTTTGTTTAGTGTCAAAACAAAAAGTATACACCCAAAACAAATGTAATGATATAATGTCAACCTGCCCCGGATTCGTGGACGTTTGTTGTACAAACTTAAACCGAACCAATGGCAGAAAAGCACTTTGAATCATGGAAATAAAGTACTTTCGTTAAAGAAAAACCGAACCAAGTAAAAACAGAACCTCGTGCAGATTGCCCCGACTCACTGTTTACACCAACAACCAATCAGATGGTATTATTACACCAAAAGTAGTGCGAAAAAGTTTTGATGACATTTAAAGACATAGTTCCTCTTTCACGTGTATTAGCTCATGGAAATGGGCACAGTGCAAAGATCTTTGTTCCGTGGTAAAGAAAAGCTATCAAACATTGTCTGAAGAGCAGATTTAGCTCCGTAATTTTATTTACTTTTAACATGGCGACCTTGACAGCATGTAGCCATTTTGGCGATTATAGGTGATTCTAAAGTGAAAATGAATGCTTTTTTCGTAGTTTACTTTGACCAAGGCTTGCAAAAAATCGAAGTGATAAACCTACCCCCAATTTTTGATATTTTTGTTGTCTAGAAGTGTTCTAGACGATATCTAAGTTTAACAAAATTTTTATGTCTAGAAATATTTTGAAAATTAGTGTCATTATGGCGGGTCTGGGTGTTTTATTGCTCCCATTTTTTACCCCATTTCCACGGTTGCCATGGTAACTGTTAGGCTTTGGCAACCATGACAACTTGATCGAGAAGGAAATTGGCAAAACAATGGGGGAGTCATACCAGATATACTTTACATCGAGCCACGCATGCATATTTAAGGGAGTGGATGGATCAAGTGAGAATTATAAAATGGAAATATAAACACTTCGGGTAAATATTCGGACATTTAGTTTTTGGACTTTTCTCTATTATATATTACTAAAGGTAGAGTATACCATTGATTTGCAGCAAAGTCAGCACTATCTAACTCAACTTTAGCCTAGTAAAGAGAAGTCCGAAACCCAAATGTCAGAATATTTACCGGAAGTGTTTATATTTCCATTTACCCTTCAAACTGTGACATTTATGCTAATAGCTCGACATTTATATGATCCTTACACACAGTCAGCATTATCTATCTAATATCTAATAATAGAATGAAGTCCGCTAACTTAGAAAAAAAGAAAATTTTAAATGTTTTTTTTCTCATGCCAGGTGCTTTGCTCAGTGATATTTTATGTTTATTCAACTTTCATATTTTTGTAACTTGTCAGGAAATTTTTTTTGGTTACCTATATTTTACAGGCGAGCAAGCGACCCAGGTGGGCGCTTTTATTTTTTTCATAGGGGTGGTAGGATCAAAAACACATTCCAAAATTAATTTATGGACTATCTTTGAGATTATGTTGTCATAACAAAAAAAGCTAACATACTTGGGCCTTAGGCCTACCCTAATTAAAAGTATCCAAATTGTCCTTGAAAATAAGAAATCAAGTCTACTGAAGCAGGGTTTAAATTCTTGTCAATCGTTTGTGACCTCACAGGCGTGCTACCTAACCAACAACAAAACAAACAAGTATATGGTATCGTTCAGTGCCTTACACTACTGATGGTATCAGGCCGGGGTATCAGGGCTAGGCAACTTTTTTCTCCAAGCAGATCTTGACAAAGAGTTTGCTGCATTATCTTGTTGGACCTATCTTGTTGTTGTCGTCTTCCGGTCAGGTTAAGGTTCAGCTGGAAAGTAACATTTTGGTAAAAAATTGCTATACCTGCCCATGTTATTTTCTGGTACAAAATTAAGTATGAAGACATGTGTGTATTTCCTTGCTTTTTTCAGGAAAGTATCATTACACTGTCTTCTTTTAGAATATCTGGAAACAGGTCAATGGTACAGAGCTGTCAAGTGTCCCGCGAATGGCGGGATTTTCCCGCGAATTTGATCAAAATTTGGCTAATTCGCGTGTCCCGCAATGTCCCGCGAAGTCCCGCAAATGTCGGCTTTAACCTCCGCGAATTTTCAAAATTGTAACAATCTCCGAGGCTAAATAATTGTGACTATCTTGTGATATAAGAAGCTAAGTTTTTTCGCTTTTGAGGAGTAAAGTTTACCTAATATGAAAAGTGCTGCCAAACTCCCAGTGCATCAGATCATCGAAGACTGCTTTTGGAAAGGGCATACATAAAACTGTGATTTTGATCCAAATAACACCATAGTTGGCTTCTCAAGTACCTAGTATGCCGTTATTTGGTATCAAAATAAAGAGGAAGAGAGTGCATTTTCATTTTAATTACGAAAATTGGGATGTTTGTCACGAATAGTTCCAACGTTGGCCTTTTTACTATGCGTGTCATAGCCTTCATCTCAGAATTGAGCAAATGTTAGCAAACGCGAATTCCAATAAATGGACAATGATATCTCGAAAAGAAACCCGACTCTCTATAATTTGATGTAGATTAATCGAACCCCTATATGAATAGGTACATTTTAATATACAGTGTATAACACTATGGGGGGAGGGAGGCGGGGGTAAATGTTTCATAGTAGGTCACGAACGCCATAAGTGCAAAGTATTGTTCAGAATTTTTGAATTTCGTGTTGGATTATGGTACTCACACCTAAAGCGTGTTTTTTGATAGTTTAATAATATTTCTATGCGTATTGTGTGGAATTGTGTTGACGTTTACTAAAGTTAAGTGCATTATATTTGATAAATCAGTATCTGAAAGTTGATTTGAGTACTTTTACATTAAGCCCCAATCACGCAAATCACTTGAATGTCCTGCGGCATCCCGCAAATTTAGGTGGATGTCCCGCAAAATCCCGCGAATTTAGGGCACTTTGACTAAAAAAATGTGTCCCTCTATGAAGTCTTTGGTGGTTACCCTGTTAACTGTTCCGCAATTAGCGTGTTTGTCTTTCGAATGGTCCCGCGAAATCCCGCGAATTTGATCAAAATTTGACCTATTAAGCGCAATCACGCAAATCCCTTAAATGTCCCGCGAAATCCCGCGAATTTAGGTGGATGTCCCGCAAAATCCCGCGAATTTTTGGCACTGGGTCTAAAAAATCTGTCCCGCGAGAAAATCTTTGGGGGTTGACAGCAGTGATGGTAGCTCTTGAGTTGTCTGGAAACTTTGAAAGAAAATTTGGAAAAATAGAAAGTGTGAAATATCAGAATTTCCTGTAGTTCCCATTAAACGCCTACCAGATATTCTAAAAGAAGACAATGTAATGATACTTTCCTGAAAAAAGCAAGGAAATTGACACATGCCTTCATACTTTATTTTGTACCAGAAAATAACATGGGCAGGTATAGCAATTTTTTACCAAAATGTTACTTTCCAGCTGTACCTTAAGGTGTCACTCCGGTAAATACCACTTCCGGGTAGGACAGTGTTTTTTAATACTTAAAAAACGAAGCCATGCCAACTTCAATGGTGTGTATAGTAGGTTTAAATGTATGCAATGTGGCCATTTGAGGTATGTCTGTAAAGCTGAGGCCAAGTACTTTCTAAATGTGCCAATTTTAAGAAAAAAATCGCAAGAATATAGTCCCGTAAACTGGAACTACTTTATTCGTTAATTTTCATCGGTGAAGCAGGGATTTTACCTAAAAATGAGTCCCTATGTTTGCGTAGTGATATTTAAAAATCGAGACGCAAACCCTATATTAAATATAGCGTCAAGATGAAGGTTATGTATAGGGGAACGCAGAAATATAGTCATTGTATGGGCTAGTTTGTTCGAAAATGGCGATATGTACCCCAGAACTTTAATTTTGTGATTTTTTTTCAAAATTTTTCAATGATTTACCGTAGAGACACCTCAAGGACACTGGATTTTTAACTTCCGGTCAAGATTTTAATTACACTAAATTTAGGAACTTTCCAAACAGTTTCGGCCTTTTAAATCCTATGTAATATTTTGCAATATTGTTCAGTTTACTTATGCCATGCTCAGTTTGTCCCGATTTTCTCCAAATTTAATGTTCTCAGTGGTCAAGCAGGTGACCTCACTTGACCCTGACGTCACTGATCACTGTTGACCAATCAGCATGCAGTAGACCAGACCCATACATCACTATCGCTCTCGTTTTATTTGAACAGATTCCAATTTGCTGCTACAATACGTATACCACCAAGTACCAACCACCATGTATAGTTACACGACGACAGAATCTCAAAGATAATCATGCAATAAAATAATTTTGGAATGTGTTTTTGATCCTACCACTCCTACCACCCCTATGAAAAAAATAAAAGCGCCTGCCTGGGTCCCTGGTCACCTGTAAAATACAGGTAACCATTTTTTTAATGATTTCTTGATGATCTATAAATAGATATGAGGTCATGTCCATGAGCAGAGTTTTGGCCTAAAAAAGTAAGAAATTTGTGCCTCAAGCTCAATATCTGTGATTTGCAAGCGATTCAGACCATGTTTTATTAAGTATCAAAATAATGCTCAGGTTATTGAGACTCAACTGAAGTTAAAAAATAAGGTAAAAATAAACACCAACTCAGTGATTATGACCAAACAAAAACGGGAGTCCAGACCGGAAGTCAAAGATTAACTGCACTTTCAGTCTATTATCTGAATATCTGAAGATTGATAGTGCTCACTGAATCCTTACATACCAGTATGATTAAAAAGTTACTTACATTGTACCAAATTAAAAGTGAGTTCCTGATCAAACTTGCAAAAATTGGTCCAAATTCTCACTTGATCAAACCACTCCCTAAAATACACATGCGAGGCTCGTTGTAAAGTATATATGATTGGTTGTTGGTGTAAACAGTGGCGTCGGGGCAATCTGCTAGACGCTCGTTTTTTACTTGGTTCAGTTTTTCATTAAGGGAAGTACTTCATTCCCATGATTCAAAGTGCTTTTCTGCCATTGGTTCGGTTTGAGTTTGTACAACAAACGTCCACGAATCCGGGGCAGGCAGTTGTTTTGGGTGTATACTTTTTATTTTGACACTAAACAAAAATATTTCCGCAATATATGGTGCATTATGGGTAGGAACTGCTGTGAAATAATGAACCTAAGTGACATCTATCTCAAATTAAATGTTCCTATAAAGTTATTGATTGCGCATAACTTGAACCAATCAGATCACTGAGTTTAATGCGCATGCGCCATAAACCGAACCAAAATATGGAATCTTGCGCATGTTCTTCAGGTAATTATTACTTTCCTGGGATTTGAGCTAGAGGATATTTTACACTGACCGATTGCAAACGAGATTTAACGAGAGAACGTTAGAGAGAAACATTTTGTGAAGAATGAGCACATTTTAACTGTTTTCCACTATCTCCGCATAATTTGAGGTATGGACTTTCATTTTTATTAACATATGGTATCTTTTGGACCTCTGACCCTAAAAATATTAGAGAAACACTTGTGTGGAAACGTCAAATTCTTAGTTTGAAAAGTAGGGTACATGTATCTGTTAATTTTTACCAAAATGGCATAGAGTGATTGGACTTATTTAGATATTATGATGAGATAGTGCTGACTTGACAGTCACAATGACTTATCGAATTCTACGACCACTTTCACAAACGTAGTGGGGGTCGTAGGATGCGATTCACAATGACATGTTTCTGTGGGAAGAATAAGGCATTCATCCTCCATTCTGATACTTTGTTTTTTGTAATTTCAGACTACTGTATATTACAATGTCGTCAAGTGGGAATGAAGGAGAAAAAGATAACGTCTCGGACAGTGTGTCTGGACCTTTCCCAACTGCAGGCCAGGAGTATTATTTCAAAACCCACCTGAATGAACTTTGGCGTGATGATGTGTTTACCGATATTACATTAGAAGTTGAAGGGAAACAATTCAATTGCCATAAAATCATCTTAGCTTCGAACTCTCCATACTTTCGTTCATTATTGACAAATGGCATGGCTGAAACTACAAAGAAAACTATCGAGTTGAAAGATGTTTCACATACTGCAATGGAACATATTTTACGTTTCATTTACCATGACTTCAAGGATATCAGTGACATAGGGAATACTAACCTTAGTGTCAAGCAGGCACTTGAAGCTCTGAAAGCTGCTGATATGTTCCAAATAGAGAATGGAATAAAGGATATTTTGGCTGATTATCTAATACTTAACATGACAGATGACAAATGCCTCGAAATTCTCCAGACAGCTCAATGTATAGGTCAGTCTAAGCTAGCTGAGTCAGCAAATAAACATGCATTGCTCAACTTTGAGGATGTGCGGAAAACGGATGGATTACTGGAACTTGAAAAAAACAGTCTTGTCAGTTACCTTGGAGATGATGGGTTAGTTGTCACTAATGAAGAAAATGTTTTCCATGCTGTAGATCGCTGGATGTCCAAGGCTAAAGAGCGAGAAGAGCATGCCTTGGAGCTGTTTGATTGTGTAAGGTTCTGTTTTATGAAGTCTCAAGTCTTAAGCGATGAAATCTATCCACATGCATTGACCAGTCAATTCCCATGTTTGAATAACTATATCATTGCCGCATTCCGTCACCAAACCACTCCCTGCTACCAGCATGAAGAGCATTATTACAAATGCAAACCAAGAAACTGTGAGACTATTATTTGCGCATCAACTGTTTTCAGTAAGAAAAGTGACATTTCTCCCATCATGATAAGAGAAATGTTATCCAAAGTGCAAACATTTGAAATCATTCAACATTCAACAGTATACGACTCTCTTCAAAACAAAATCTGTTCGGTTGGACACAACATCTACATATACGAAGGTGTTAGGGAGCTGAAACGTTACATATTTAACCAAAACCACAGCAATTTTTCAGGCCAACCCTTGAAGTGTGCCATACATGTAGATTCAGATATGCAAATTGGTTTGGATTCATTCACATTTACATTATGCGGCGACTACATGTATTTGATTGGAGGAGAGGAAGAAAATGGTTCTGTAAGTTCTCGAATAGACATGTATGATTGGAGAAATGATGTCTGGCAAGCACCCCAAGGAGCTACTACCACTTTAATTCATGCTGTGTATGGACATTTGACTGTTGCTGTGAAAGGGTTCTTGTACATAATTGGTGGCGTTACCAAGAATAGCTGGAGTAGCCAATTTCTTCAAGTATATGACACCAGGGTTTGCAAAATATCAATGGGACCACACTTGCCTCCATGCTCACTTGAGACAGATGATGAAGACATTGTCAGGTCCGGTGTCCGTGGAGTGTATTGCAATGAGGAAATTTACTGCTTTTGGGGCAAAACAATTTCTAAATATAGCCCAGAAGAAAGCCAGTGGACGGATTTACGCAATAATGTATTTCCTGTTCTTGCTAGTCTATTTTAGTATTTGGAGGTTTCAAGGCATCTGCGATGCGAAATGAGAAGGTATTTGAATTAGACACCAAATCTTGCTCAGTAAAGGTTTTGACTCAATTCGAATATCCACTCATCTTTGGAGATCTAGACAAAATTGTCATGAATGAAAATCTAAAGTGGCTGTAAACATAGTAAAGAACATTTTATTGTGTAGGTTGAAGGTTCACAAATATGTCGTGACCTCACTGATGTGACTATCTTAAAACTGGTATGTTGTACTGGTTAGTCAACTTAATTTGATGCGATTTAATCTGGGAATTGGGAAAAATTGGGAAGTTGGCGAAGATTTAATTTGGTGAATTTTGAATCTGATGGGCAATAATAAAGTTATAAGCACAATTAAATCAAACACTTAAAGCAAACCTTGATTATGTTAAACCAAACAGCGTTCACCTTTTCTTATCCAAGACAGAATTCACATAATATAGTAGTAATCTTCTAAAACTCTGCGTTGTTCAAATATAAAAAATGGCACAGATAACTGTATGCACATTTAAACTAGACGAAAAAATTTCCCAGGGATTTCTGAAAATTTGGCAAAGACATGAATTGGCAAATTTTTGCAATTCCCCAAATTAAATCAGTTGCCAAATTAAGTTGACTAATAGTATGGAAACTGATGATGAAACTTTGTTTATATTAATTCATGAGCTAACTTAAAGTCCCTATGTATAGTTTGAAAACATGTTTTTATCATTCATTTACACCCGAGTCACATTTCTGCGGCCAGTAGCTTTTCTACGCTCGCCGCAGAATTTCTGCGCTCTCATACTTTTGCAGTCACATTTCCCACGGCAGTCACACGGTGAATCTTAAATTTATATTGATAAATAATAGTTTTTTTCATTTTATTAACATCAGGACAATTTATAAATGTTATTCAAAGTGCTAGGATGTAATATCAAATGAAAAGTGATCGTGAAACATTGACAAATAATGATTCAATCTTGTTGAGCCAGTTGATTTCTACGGGGACCTCAGAAATGAACAAATATTATAACTCCGAGTTATAATTTCTACGCCTTCCCTGCGGCCTGTAAAAATCTGCATACGCCGTACAGAGGCCGCAAGGCGAGCGTAGTTTTTCTACGCTCGCCGCAGAAATTCACCGATTTAATTGTTCTGCGGTCGACTTGCGGCCGCCGTGCGACAAATGTGACTGGGGTGTTAGAGGCGCAAATATATTGCATAATATTTCATAAGTTTTCCCCTTAGGTATCATGAAAAAGAACAATGAGCCCATGCGTTTCAAATTACGTGCTCACACTTTTTCAACAGAAGCAGTTCATCCAAGCACACTTAAACCGCTAATTATGCTGTGGCAACCTTATTGGCTGCTCGCGTGTGTCAACCACGTCTGCTCATTGCTAGTGCACCGCAGGAGTTCCACTGCAATAAACTGCGGTATCTTTCAAAAGAATCATGTGAGTGTATGTGCGCTTGGATAAGCTATTTTTGTTCAAAACACATGAGCATGTAATTTGCATGGCATGGCTTATTGTTCTTTTTAGTGATACCCGGAGAAACCTCATTAAAATAGCACCACGGGAATACAAAAATACAGTCTTTCTACTTAATGTCGTGACTTTAAAAGTTACTTTAGAGATATTTGAAAAAACAGATTTTGAAAAAAGTTGTCAGCTTTTCATATCTCAAATATTCAAGTTTCCCGCCATTTTTCAAATAAAAGTTGAATCTTTTTAATCATCAAATATCCAACTATTACAGTGCAAAAAACATCTTTTTAACACCATTGTAAAGATTGAACAAAGGACACACTATGTGGATGATAAAATGTCATATCTAATATTCCACGAATCAATGTTTTAGCATATCAAAAACAGTTTGCAACCTTAAGTGACCTCAGTGTGACATCACTCAGGTGGCAAAAACTTTTTGTAAAAATATTTCTAAATATGCCAAACTTCAAAAATAAACCAATGTTGATTGTCTAATCAGGTTACAAGGAAGAATATGTTATGTTTTAAGTATGATTCTACCGTTGGGTTCTATAAAAACCAAATGCATTTTTGGTGCATTTCATGCTTGGAATTAGTTCATTTCTTGCTTATTTATCAGTTTGTGAACCAATTTTCTTAATTTTGGAGTAAAAAACAGTAGGAATGAATGCCATGCACTTGTGTGAATTATCCCTTATTAAAAGATATGTGTGACCTCTAAAAGTATGTTTTGAATAAATTCACGACTTTCTAACAAAAAGTTTTTGAAGTTTTCCTAGCATTCTGAAGTACATTTCACACAAAAAAAGAAACAAAGTATCTGATCATAGAAGATGCAAACATCACTGGTGATCCACTCGATTACGCTGGTTACCAAAATGTCGGAACGTCTTTTTTCCTTATTTCACGCATTGCATGCAGAATCCCCACAATGTTTTTTCTCACAAACGTATATCAGTATCATATGTTATAGAAAATGGAGTAATTAAATCAACGATTCTGTTGTCTTCTGAACTGTTTGTTCGCAAATATGTACATTTTCTTAAGCATATGATACTGATACACGTTTGTGTTAAAAATGTCGTGGGAATTCTGCCTACAACGTGTGAAATAAGGAAAAAAGAAAAATCGTACATTCTATGTTCCGACATTTTGTTAGGGAACGCCTCCGTCCGTCCGTCCGTCCGTCCGTCCATCTGTCCGTCCGTCCGGGCAATAACTCAAATACCGTTAGCCTGATTTTGTTCATATTTTGTACACATATACCCTATGGGGGTAGAAGTTCTGCTCGAAAGCCGATTTTCAAAATGGCCGCTCATTTCAAAATGGCCGCCATTTTAGTGCCGATTTTACAGTAATATAGGTGCAATATGTAAAACTGTAATAGCAATATGTTTTAAATGTAAAAAAATTATAAAGGACATTAATAATGCTACAAATGTAGATATTAAAGAAGCACATGGCAGCCATCTTGAAAAATGGCGGCCTTTACTCGTCATTTTACGATTTTTGCTGTAACTCAAAAAATAGTGGAGCGATTTTGTTCATATTTGGTATGTGAATACTAGAAGCATTGCACACTGTCTAAAGACACTTTTGGTAGAAAGTGGCCATTTTCAAAAATGGCCGCCATTTTAACATATTTTACTATAACTCGAAAAGTAGTGGAGCGATTTTGTTCATATTTGGTATGTGAGTACTATAAGCATGGCACATTGTCTATTTCTAATGACACTTTTGGTAGAAGGTGGCCATTTTGAAAAACGGCCGCCATTTTAACGTATTTTACTATAACTCGAAAAGTAGTGGAGCGATTTTGTTCATATTTGATATGTGAATACTTTAAGCATGGCACATTGTCTAATAAAACTTTGGGGAGTAGTCGGCCATTTTGAAAAATGGCCACCATTTTTATGTGTGTTATTTTACAAGTACGTGTCGATTTTTCAAAAATTTTAGAGGTGGCTATTTAAAAGCATATTATTTCTTCTGATGACAACTTGGCTAGTGAGCAACCATTTTGAAAATGATGGCCTTTCTGGTGTGTTGTTTTATGATATTTGCTATTCGTTTGTAAAAATGCCAGCCATTTCTGTTCGATGGGATTCGCTACGCTTTGGCGTTGCCGTTGTTCTGGTTATCTTACTGAACAAAGTTTGGAAGTGATATGGTGAAGTAGTGATTTTTGTTTGGGCAATTACTAAATTCTTAAAGAAAATATGCCAGATTTTACTTTCATTTGAATGTTCAAATATCATTATGAAAAAATCCATCCATCGATAGCTGCCACTTTTATAGCGAAAAAGCAGGTTTTCAGCCATTTAATTTTTCTGAGCTACTGTTAAATATTTCAAATATTGGAACCCCTCCATGGGAGCCACTACCTTCTACCCATGATACTATTATTATTTATTATTAACTGTTAACTAACTAGTTGAAACTAATTTACAGAGAGTGACAAAATAGCGAGCAACGTGTAGGCCTACAGTTGACCAACACTGACCTACTTATGTATTCCTTACTATCTCAAATATGATATCTCCCAAAAGATCCACAATCACGCAGTCTTAACTTCGACCGTTAATTTGAATTTTTGACCTACCGGATGTTTGAAAATCAAGGATTACGAGTCTCATACTGCACCGTTTTTCTTCAAACTTGTTCCATTCAAAGCATAACAAAAATCTCTTTCTGATGGTACATTATTCTCTTAAACAGAGTCCCTACTTCCAGCGGCATTTTGGTCCCCAGCTGTAAGAAGGCCTTCTAACAGCTGGGGACCAAAACCCTGCTAGAACAAAGGACTCTTTACAATAAAGTAATGCACCGACAGAAAGGCAATTTTGTTTTGCTTTTAATGGTATAAGTTTGAAGAAAAACGTTGCAATATGAGACTCGCAATCCTTGATTTTCAAGCATCTGGTAGGTCAAAAATTCAAATTAACGGTCGAAGTTAGTACCGCGTGACAATATGACCATCAACAATTTGAAAAATAGCTGACCAAACCACTATAATAAACCACTAATAGACTACTTATACTCAGCTAATACTAGAAATACTACTTTAAATCAGGTAAGCCCACGCCTACAGATAATACTCAAGGCTCTCCTAGGCCAGTAATAGTACTTTAATTTGTCTACTGTTTTACCAACAGTTTCACTGAAATATTAAACAATTTCAATCATAACACCATGTTTACTTGTAGCACCAACACTTAAACATATTGACTTGCACTAAAAAAGAATTAAACTTGTAACACAATCGACTTCACCACTTCAGTTGCAATAGTAAAAAAAAGATAGGATTCAATTTTATTAGAACTATTGTATTTCCAATTCTGAATTTGATATCATCAAAATTAGAAACAATATGTAATACTATTTAATTGTAATGCATGACTACTGTGTAAAGTGATAATAAAAAGATAATGTTGACTAGTTCTTGTGACTAGATAAATATGACTGGTTCATTCTGATACTCAGACCATCTCTGCTATGCACAACGTTCTAGAAGGAAACTGAGAGAAGGCTGTGATATCTCACGATGTGACTGGTTGTGTCTCGATAATTCTGGCTCTGTTTTTAGGTAATCTTGATATTTGTGACTTGACAGTTGGAACTAGACTGGTTATAAAGAGGTGATTGCGATGGATTTTGTCTTGAGATGATTGTAATTCTGGTTGTGTTTAAGATGATTTTGCATCTTGTCGAGAAAACTGAAAATCTAATCTTAGCCTTTACATAAATGTTGTACCACTTGTATATCAATTTGGGATAACAATGGATATAGCCAGGTACAGGGTGTAAAATAAATATATTCTCCCCCTTAAATTCAAAAATATGAACTTGTGTGCATAAAATTACATCTCGTTGAGCTAGTCATCTGAAACTTTTTGTGGAGTTGTTTCATGAAGCACAGTTTGATGTACAAAAGAACAATTCAGATACCATGCAAAAAAATTAAGCAGCATTATGCGTGGATGTTAAAGTTAAGGGGGGAACATATTTATTTGAAACGCTGTAGATGATCTACTTGTAGGTTGCTTTGAACATGGGTTTAAGAATATATATATTTGATCATTAGAGCAAGCCAAGTTTCACGATGTGAATGTTCTAATTGAAGGTTGATTGGCACATTGGTTTAAAAATTGATATATTTTATCATAAGGGCAAGCCAAGTTTCTCCATTTGGATGTTCTACTTGTAGGTTGCTTTGAACATGGATTTA